CAACGAATAAAATCAACATTTCTTGCTTGGGTTAGGTACAGAGGTTCGAGGAGCAAAAACAAACAGAAGGCATTACTCATTTATTAACTGATGTAGATATCTAAAAACTGCGAAGGAGTGTAGAGATAAAACGAAAAGGGCGACCTTTTATCTCGTTAATCAAGGGATGTTTTGCCACTAATTCATGAATTGAGCTTTAAATTAATTGGCCAACTCCGTACATTTGGATTTACTGCTTAGGATCAGGATCATTATACCCGACTCGATGTATATGGGAAGGACCCTATTTTGATTGGAGAATTTATTTATTACGGTTTTCCTATCCGGTTACCTACGGTACAAGTATTTTAAACTAAACCGTAATTGGCGCAGAATTTCAATTTCGCTTCAATAATTTATACATATAACGTGTTAATATTAATTAATTGGGCTCCTTTCTTCAGAATAAAAAATGCTGGGTTTTCGGTGATCGCAAAATTAGGTCAGGTACCTACGCGGTTAATATTTTCATCGGATAGAGACAAAAAGTCTGTGTACTGCATTTTCTCGGTTAATTACTACAATTTTCAAACGCCATTCATCACTCCAATCCTTGACGCATACTGAAACGCTTAATAATTAAAAATTAAACGAATTCGTGCAGTCGTGAAAAATGAGTGCGGAATTCCAAAGCCATAGAACGTCATATTTAATTTTGCTTTCCGGTGCTTTCCGCTCCGGCGAAGCCAGCACAAGCCTCCTTTATATAATAATAAACTAAACTAAATCATTTTTACTACAAAGAAAATTGTAAAGGCTATTCATTCCGTTTCCTTTTCTTCCATTCAAGCTTCAAGAAATGTCCTCATCTCGAGCGTTCCGTTGTTTGAATCATTTAGCGGTACTTGTGACTAATTAGCCGAAATTCATGTTTACAGAGAGGGCTGGTGAAGGTAGATAGAAGATGATAGATCCATCTTCATCGGAAGAGGACAGTGAAGAAGAACATGGAACCGGTCACCATGTTGGGCATCATACTCAATCGCATCATCACCATTCGACAAGCCATTCACACGTAAGTAATCTCTAATTATCTTCGAAAATATATATTTAATTTAAATCTGAAATATACGGGGTGTTTAACAATTTTTATAATGAGCAAGGAATTGGCACACTTGATGGTCTCTCTAAAGAATTGTTCCAAATTTACATCAATGATAACTCAATGGTACAATAATTAGATGTTCCATATACAGGGTGTTTGTTAAACATGCGGCAATTAAATTCCCTGCTGTGTTGCTACTTGGACTATTCTTTGATTATTTTTGAAAATGCGTTTTGTTTAGGTGATGCAAGGAGAGTAAATTTCTAGATTTTATTGCCAAATAATACATGTAAATGTAATCTACAAGACCTGTAACCACGTTCAGTTGTGATGCAAGCATCCAATCTTGCCCAATTCTTTCAAAAATACAAAGGTTATTTCTTATTGAGTTACATCCAGCAATAATTCGAATTCGCAAGTCTTCCACATTTAAATTGGCCTATAGGAAATAATCAAAGGGGTTTAATCCTGGGGAACGAGGGTTATAAGTGAGGTCTGTATAAGGTTTTCAACAATCATTAAATGATAAAATATTCTTAGAATAGTCCAAGGAACAACCCCTTGAATTTTTCACCCATGTTTAATAACACCCTGTATATTTAAAAATAATTTTTCTCTCAGTAAATTATAAATTCACTTCTTCAATTAAAATACAGTTCTTCACCCTGTACAGTAAAAAAGCGAAATAAATTGATTATTTAGTATACATAGGACATATAATTTAGTAAACATCGTTAAATGCCTTTTGTGGTATAGGTATTATACCCGCTTTATCTAGAACATTGATAAATTCTATTTTTATGCTTTCGTGTCTTTGTGATAAAATATATGCGCATCGAAATTATGCGTATTATATTTGTTCCGGGGAAATTCGAGTAGATAACCGTGGCTTTTTGGGTGGATCGAAATTTCAAGTTCTTGAACATAGTTCAACTTGTCAGAAAGTTCATTCTATCCATTATACAAATTGAACTCGCCGACAAGTCCCAACTATCATCAATATACATACTTTCGGTGGAAATTTTTTCCAGAAGAAAAATTCCCCGTTGCTATTCAAGGTTGACTTCGACTTAGCTTTATTAAACATAATGCTAATTCATTAGAATAAGAATATAAGGACGGGGATGAAAGAAAATCCGTAAAATTTTGGGAAAGAATTCCAAGGCGACGCGGTTTCACGAATGGCTTATATAATGAAATGCTGATAATTCAAAGGCGTTGCCGGGCAAGAGCGAATTTAAGCTCGGAACCTAATTTAGCATAATACGCTAACTGGAAAAATGCAAAAATCGTTGATGTTTAGATTTACTAACTGGATTAATTCAAATGTTCAGTTCCTTCCTGATCATCAACACTCGACCCACAATTAAAAAGTTATTTGTTTTAGCTATTAATTATTTTGTGATGACGATACTCATTCATTAGTCTCATCCCCTTGAGAGTTTTAATTGTAAATTAATTAACAGTACATTCGTACAGTGTGAACCATAATATGGAATTAAAACGGAAAATCTCGCAAAAACTCGATATTAGGCGGCATTAAAATTTTCTTTATGGCTAGGAAAGTCCTTTTCTAAACTCTGAACGTACAAACTAAATAAAATGATAGAATCCATGTTATTGCAATAACCCATATCAGTTATAGTCATCAGAAAGTTCAGTCTAATTATTTACACAGACTGAACCCACTGACAAGTCTAACTGAATCGGTTAATCCTCGCCGATACAGCTTTTAACGTTCGCCTCTCCTTCGCCTGAAAAATCAATTTTGAATATTTAATTATTTATTTAATATTCAGTGGATAATGGATAATGTGTTAGGTAAATGTCGCGTCAAAGCTTCCGTTGGAAAATTCGAGTCGACTTTAATTTTGAATGGTTAATTAATTTGATCCGGGCTTATTTATTAAATAGGAAGAAACGAAGCGTATTTGTTTAGTCAACAACCCTGCTTTTTCAGACTTAAAAGTTTGTCAATAGACCTTCTTTTTTATTCGCGTTCAAAACGAATTGTCGCGGAGCATTTTTGGACTTTGCAATATTTCAAGAACCATTTTACACGTTAAAAGGAATTATAAGCTAGGATTTTGTCGCAGCACTTTAGAGATTAAATATTTAAAGATCTACTCGAAACACAGCAGCTGTAAAAAGGGGGATGTTAAAAGCATCTTGAGGTTAAAAATAATACTGATAGTACAACAATTAACCAAAAAAAAATATTAACAAACGTGTTGTATTTAGTTAAACTTTAGAATAATAATGATTGACTATTTTTATTTCTAATGCAAATTACATTTTCATTTATTTATTTAAATACATGATAAGAAACTAAATATTCATAAAAATGATCTCGAATAATCCAATAATTCCAAAGGAAGGGAAAGGAAGGGAAAGGAAGGGAAAGGAAGGGAAAGGAAAGGAAAGGAAGGGAAAGGAAGGGAAAGGAAGGGAAAGGAAGGGAAAGGAAGGGAAAGGAAGGGAAAGGAAGGGAAAGGAAGGGAAAGGAAGGGAAAGGAAGGGAAAGGAAGGGAAAGGAAGGGAAAGGAAGGGAAAGGAAGGGAAAGGAAGGGAAAGGAAGGGAAAGGAAAGAAAAGGAAGGGAAAGGAAGGGAAATTCTGTTCGCAATATAAGAAATGATGCAAAATGTATATTTTCTATTGCGTTATAAAAAATAAATTGCATTTCTGAGGCATACTGCATTATATTTTTTTTTATCGAGCAATTAGCATTTTTTAGCCTACAAATTGCTTTAAATTATCGAACGTTTAATCTACTAAGCTTTCTCTAAAAAATGTAATGTTAAAAAAAATCTGATTGGAGTACGAAAAAACATTGCGCAACTCCTATCTTACGCTAGCACGTGATCTTATAACATTTTATAGCAAAAGAACAAAACTCGTTACGTTATTTCATTCGCAGTGTTTGTGGGTTCGTCGACCGAACATAAAAAAATTGAGACAATGATGAAAACTCTCGCAGCAGCACACAATCGATACGACCGCAAAATGTGGGAAGCGCTTGCTGGAAAAACTTCACAAATTCGAAAGGAAAAAAAGGGAGAAAAGAAACTTTCAAACGAAACCAGAAAACTATGTCTTTTGTCACTTTTATCGATCAGCGCCGAGCACTTTCGTTGCGTAAAAGGAAGCAATGCGTCTATTTGCGGGTTTTTAATTAATTAAAAAACATATTCGACGTCGTCGGTGACGCTAATAGAGTGTGCCGGTTGATTTTTCGTGACGATAAAGATTTTCTGCTACCGCTTACCGCTGTTTGTCCACAGCTTTTTCGACGCGACGCAAAATTCGTGTGCAGCACTCTCCGTTCATGTAATTTGCCAGACCGATGGATTTTATTTGCAAATTCCAGCGCACTGCAGTTTAATGAAGTTCATTTAACACTTCATTTGTACAACAACAAAGTTTTATCGTTACTTCATTTCGAATTGCGAATTTTCAAAACTTAATTACTTCCTCGAATTGAAGCGATGGGAAATTATATTTCGTAGTTTTTTTAATTACTAGCAATTTTCGATGCTTTTAAAAGTTATTTTCAAGTTATTTAGTGATTATAAAGTTTGAGCGTTTCTTGTAAATTTTGTGAGCTTTATGCATTGATTTTGATATCTCAGCTTTTGATATTTAACACATTAAAGTACTTTTATTGTGTTTTACAACAAAAATTACTTCAAAAAATTATTCAAAATAATAAAATAACTATCCTCTTTCAGTAGAATTATCAAAATGTAATATTTCATCTGTCAAAGGGTATGTATGCAAAATACATACAAATAACACGTGTTTTGTTGTATAAGCGTAACTAATTGTACGTAAAATAATTAATACGAAACCAAATTGCCTGTTTGTTGTTTTTCACAATTGCGATTATTAATTTTTTATCATTCACGAACTTCATTTCCTCTCATTAGGGTTTTTGATTATGCCAACGGAACCATGACGCAGGTGTATAAAGTACTCGGCTAAAAGGGAGCAGTTTTAATACTTTTAAAAGCACTGTGAACAAAAGAGCCCAGTTAGGCAATGGACACAATTAACCCTTTCCAAGTACATGTAATGAAAATAATGAAAGAACAGAAATAAAAGAGTATTATTGAAGAGAGTATTCCGTGTCGGATTCCAGAGTAGTGAAAGTCAACAAACAACCGCTTTTATTGTTCGGGTTTCTTTGACCATCTGATAGCTTAATGAAAAAAAATATATATTAATGCAATCGCATTCGGCACGTATAGGTATGCTTAATCGCCAGCAGATTAGCTTCGCTAGTTTTGTAATAATTTATTCATAAATGTATTTTTACCATGTAATTTCAGCCAACAGTCATGCAATGTTGACTCAAAAGCGTGCACAAGTGATCGATATACTAGGTATACAGGCGCGGTAGAGGACCTTTGTGTTTTAAAAAACGTATCGAAAACCTAATGAAAACCCTTCGTCATTTCCAATTTCACCAAGAAACTGTTAGTAAATAAAATTCCACCGTCGAGCTTATAAAGGGTGCCTTCTGGTAATAATGTTAAATGAAAATGCTTTGTGGTATATTACTCCGTAAATAAAATTGAAAATACACGTAAATAATACGTAGGGTAAAATAATAAGTTCCTGTCTACGCTCGCTTATACAACATGTGTCATGTAAACTTCCCTATAGCATAATAGTTTCTGAAGATAATTATTTTTTTTATTTTCGTCGAGTCATAATCAATTGGTTTGTTTAGTTTTAAATTAAACATAATAAGGAATATCTTTTAATTATGACAGCAATATCTGACAAATGTAAAAGTTTTTGGTAAACTTCAACATGAACTTTCCTTATTTTTACCACTGATTTCAATAAAACAACAAAAAATAGGTGGTTTCATTTGAAAAAAAGGAGGAATTTGATATTTTGAAAGTTTAACTTTTCAATATTTTTTACACACCCTGTATACAATAGACAGTGTGTTTCACTTAAACTAACAATGTTGCTGCACATACCAGTATATCCGGACTATATGAAACTATATGAAAAAGTTGAAAATGTTTGCACAAGTTTTCAGATTTTAATTACCGCTACTTTTCTAAATACATTTTAATTGGCCAGCATCTTGAAACACACACACAGCATTTTCAACTGGTTTAAAAATAAAAATTCAAGCAAATTTCCACTGACAAATAATCTATTAATTGCATCAAAGAAGGACGATTTTAATTTCGCCGCCGACGAAATTTCGATCGTAATTCAGCGGCCGTTAAAGTTCGAAATCCCTTTGCAGAAATGCAATCCAATTAAATCGCAAAAACACTTCGAAAAAAGCGGGAATTTACATTCCCCGAAAATTATTAAAAATCCCTCCCTTTGACCGGGGGCTGTTAAGTCGTTCGATAACGCCGTAAAATCGGTTGGTAATGCAATTGCTCAAACGCGCCCTAGTTCTCTTTCATTTCGAAAAACCCGTTCGCACCTGTGCTGTCCCCCTGGCTGTTGCCGATTTTCCCTTCTCACGCACGGCCGGCCTTTTCGCACGCGATCTTTCAAATTCTCCTCTTTGTTCCATTCACACATCCCGACTATTTTTATGAATTTCCATACCCGACGCAAGCGAGCCGCGTAATTCGCATTTTAAAGCAGCAGTTTTCGGAATAATGAATTAATTGGAGCGCCGTTTTTTCCCTCAATTCGACTTTCACGTTTTCCTTTGGACTCTAATTTACCGCCGCGCGAAATGCGCCAGCGGAAAAACGACACAACTTTCGGGACATTCAAATGAATGTAAGTTTAATTAATATCCAACAAGGTACGTATAAGTACAAACAAAGAAGTTCAGCTGTGTGTAAACGTTCAACAAACATCAAAATTAATTAAATATCAAGTAGCGAGTTGATATCAAACACTAATTAGAACCCTGTTGGGTTATGTAAGTAACGTGCTCTCGGTTGTTCAAAAGTAAATTCTGATACATTTTCTTTACAGGGCAGCTTTAATTCGCCATCAATTTATTAATTAAGAATTTACTTTATTAATTAGAAACCTTAAATGAATATAAAACATGTAAGATTATTTCATGGTACATGTTTTAACGCTGGTACTATTAGATGCATTTGTAATGACGCAAAATACAGATTGTTAAATTAATCAACCCGCGATACTTGCCTATATAGTTTGAAACTCGTTACACCAGCTTAATAGAGTATCGGAAACTCCTAATAAATAAGCATTGTGATGTAACGAGAATTAATAATCGATATCGCCCGGTAACGGGGAAGTAAAGTAATCGAAGCCGTTCCTTCTGGTTCCAGGTTGAATCCTCGCCATATCACCAGTCTCATGGTACCGATATGGGCAGCGCAAATCTGGAAGTCCCGATTCCAAACGCTTCGCTGGGACAACGCTCGCTATCACCATCCAGTGCCGTATCCGCCGAAACGATTAGCCATAGTATGGGGTCTTCCCGAGCGAATTCCTTACCCCGACCCACCAGCCCGTCGCCGTCAGTTGCCTCCGAAAAAACCGAGGTAGATCTGGCCGAGAAGCAGGAGCGCGAAGAGGAGGAGCGGAAGAGGAGGATACAGCTGTACGTTTTCATTTCGAGGTGCATCGCCTATCCGTTCAACGCTAAACAACCCACGGATATGACCAGGAGACAGACGAAAATCACCAAACATCAGTTAGAGAGTATCGTGAATAGGTTTCAAGTAAGTGCAATTTCTTTCTTAGAATCCTTCCTAATTTCATAATAGGAAAAGTACCAGTAATGAATCAGGTATCAGAAGTAGACCAGTTAATTTCAAACTTCTATACTATGAAAATTACGATTTTTAAAAAATTTTCACCACTTTTTTAATAATGGCATGATCTTTGCTGGCCAACTTGAGGCACATCTTGATTATTACAATTAAAAAAAATATGGAAAGAATATTCAGGAAGTCTGTTTTAATTACTTGATTTTGCTATAAATGAGGAATATAATATAAATTTCTCATAACTGTAGGTGTGATAATTTAGGTACAAATATTCAAAAAATGTTTCAAAATGTCTCTCAAATGGTTTAATACTGGTACACCTACCTTATATGTTAATATGGAAACTTATTTGGTTTGTAAACTAACCAGCTAATTTACAAACCAAATGAGCGGTTATTATTATGAAGGAATTAGCTTTTTCTAACACTAGCTACCCTAACCTAGGTAGGAACCCTTCTCTACCCTAAGGTAGGAAATCTTCAAAAAGTATGGAAACGGTAGAATTTCATGCAGTCAAATTTTTGGGTCGAGTGTACAATCAAAAAAAAAACAATATTTTTTAAAAGCAATCATTCGATACCGATATCGCCTTCTCATCCCATCCCTTAAGTGTGGGACGGGGAGCAACTTTGTAAAGTTATATGAGAACTTATATTTTTTATTGTAGATTTGGAATCCTGGCATCAAAATACATAAGTTTTGAACAAAACATTTTCGAAAGTTTTAAGTTTTATTTGAAAATAAAGAAATAATTTTCCATACTTTTTGCACACCCTCTATATAAAACTGTAACGTTTATTTACTAATTTAAGATTTGTATAAGGTCGCAATTACTTTTTTTCAATAAGGAGAAGTATCGAATGTAAACGAACACTCCCGATCCCGAAAATCAACGTTTCGACTTTCGGAAAAGTTATCTTCAGGGTGAATTGACCAAAATACCCGCTTTTTTCGTTTTTTTTTTTCACATTTTTCGAATTGAGTCGATGCTCTTTCCTTCAAAATCTCCCAAAATATTCTAGAATTCCTTTAACATCCATTTATAGTTGTTTCCCCATGAACAATTTGTTTTGGAAAAATATTTAAAGAGTATTCTATAAACATCGAAATTACATTAATAAAAATTTTCCATTCTTACAAAAAATAGAGAATATAGAGAAAAAAGTACTTTTTACAAAAAGTACAAGTTTTACAAAAAACCGTTCTTTCGCCAAAATAATTTTTTTTTCAAGTTTATATCTTATACCAAAACTCTAAAACTATTTGATTTTAGAAAATCTAACAAGTCAAAACTTGTTCACCGTACACTTTTCTAGCTAACAAAGATTTTTGCTTATTTTCATCTGAATTATTCAGCGAATTATAAAGATTTTTCTTTATCAATGAACCAACGTTTTACGGCTGCTGAGCTGTCAAGCGGGACTTAAAAGGAATACAATCCTAATCTCGAGTTTAGCTGTGGTTGGGCAAACAAAAAAAACATAAAACAAAATATCCATTTTATATTCTCGTCTTTTTGGAATTTGAAACATTTTCATAAACTCATCAGACTTTTTTCCTGCAACAATATTCGGGTTTTATAGCACTCGAATAATATTCAGAATATTTTAGTAGGCTGGGTATTTTCCCACTTTACAGCCCAAACCGTTCCAAATGCACCTTTTTTTTTGTCAGCGAAGATGTTTTTACGGTTGTTTTTGTTTTATTCGTATGCTCTGCGTAAAGCTTCCATTAGGGATTCAGAAATATTATTTTCGTGTTTGGGGTTGAAATGAGAAAACACAGAGAACCTTTTGAAGTGCCGGATGCATTTTCAACTCATGTATTTATCTTATATTGCCCACATACGCGTTTTAAAAGCTCCATCATTCTGTTATACATGTTTCCTGCGTCATGCGGAATTTGAATGATTGATATTTTTTTTAGGGACGAATAATTCGCAATATCCTTTTTAAAGTCAATTGCAGCATAGCCAATCCCTAACAGAACGTGCATATCAATAACATACATTCATCCAATACTTACCTACAAGTGTATTTTAGTAGGTAATATAGAAATGCTAATGAAATAAATATAACTCTTCCACTCCTTTAGCGAGATTTAATGGAAGCGCGCAGGAGTAAAATCGTCGAGGCGCCCGGCAGTGGCTTTAGTGATGTAGTCCCCGAATGTCAACTACTTAATTTTCCTATATATCACAATTAATAAGCCCTGCAATAATTTTCCTGCTATTCCTTCATTAGTACCAGTTATTTTAGTGGAAACGACGTTTAATTTCAGTTTAACTAAGTCGAAGTTTCCGATTGCCGCCTGCATAAGAGACCCATAAACTAATTTGACATATGAACGCAGACGGGAGCAACAGGACGGGTATTAATTAATTTTATGAAACCTATTGGGTGTGTAAACTATCAAATCCTCGCCGGTTTAGGCAATTCCCCATGAGCAAACTTTGGTGACGAGAAACGTTAAAATAAGAAATTAGATAATGAAATTGACACTTTTAAGTTTTATTTTTGTAGTAATTATAAAGTATACCTTCTGACAAAAAAGTCCTCGCAAAATCCGATTTAAATTAGCTGCACTTAATATTTTTAACTATTTCAAGTTTCTGTATGTAGGTAACAGTGTTCTTAATTAGCATGCAAAAAATTAGAGAGATTTCTCAATCAGTTTGGTTGTAGCAGCTGATTGAATCAGTTCATCTCAGTGGTGCTCTGCGAATTTTGTAATGGATAAAAGTAATGAACAAAGTGTTTGTCGAATCGATGCAAATGCTTAAGGTGACTCTGTTTTATCGAAAACACATATTTGTGAATGATACAAAACTTTTAAAGACTTGCCTTGTTCCGGACGGTCTACGACCCCTTCAACCAATAATAACGGCGAGAAAATGAAGGAAATTGAGTTCGAAAATCATCATGCTAGTATTAGAGAAGTAGCACGTGACCTCAACATTTCCCGTTAAATCGCTCGTTTGATTTTGCTCAATCAATCGGACATGCCGCGCATTGAGGCTCGGCTCGTTCCGATAGAGCTGAGGTGCCTTCAAAAACAATATCCTCAATTGGTCGTTGCGTAATTGCTGGTTCGTGTGAAGTACCATCGACCAGCCGTCTTACTCACCAGATATAGCCTCGTGCGACATTTTTTTGTTTTCCAAACTCAAATTGCCACTTCCGGGATCTCATAAATGCCATAAAAAAATTAGCAGGAGCTAAAAGCAGTACCAAAAAGGACCTATAAAAAGGCTTAGACGATTGGAAAAGGAGTGACTATGTGTATCGCTTCAAAAGAAGCATATTTTGAAGAACACTTAAGAAATATTAACGAAGATTAGGAATTTTGAGTTTTATTCCAATTTTCCATGTACGAGTACTTCTTTGTCAATTAATGAAACAATCAATGGTGCAAAACTAAATAAAGCAAAACTTATTTGGATACCAAAATAATACTAGAACGTTTTTTGTAAGTATATGCATAATAGTTTTATATTGGTAAATTTTACTTCAGTTTATACTTTAGCGCAAATAGTTTGTGAGAAAAACTTTAAGTTTCAAACACTTGTTTTAATGTCGATGAAATACCTACTCGTATGAATACACTTGTAGTATAAATTACTTCGAAGTATAATGTTACTATAAAGTAAAATGTACTTCAAAATCAGGAAGTGTAGGAAAATTTTACTACAATCTCTATAGAAAGGAATACCGCGATATTTTTTACAAATAATAAGTAAACATAGCTGTAAATTTGCGCATTTTCGGAGTATACATATAAATTACGGCAGTAAAAATCGATTTTTGAGTTTTTCCTTTAATTTTTTATTATTTTTATAGTATAGATACTAATGTAAGTCCTTAAACACACATTTTGTAATAAAAATTTACTAATATTTTTGATTTTCACGATTATTGGTCTTTAGTATATCCTGAATTAACATTTTCGAAAGCAGAATATAATATTTCGAAGGGCTAGTTTATACTAGTTTAATAATATCTTCACCTTTTATAAACGCCATTCCTAACTTGATAGCTTGAGAAATATAGTATAATATAACATATGTAGGTATTTCTTTACAAAAAACAAAGTTGTAGGTAAAGATGAGACCCCCACATAAAGTCACTAAAAAGTAATAATTTCGAATCTGTAACGAATTTCAGTAGTATAAAGAATGGAAAATTTATCGTAAAATATACGTAAAATGTACCAAAAAAGTGGTAAGTGCTTTACTACGTATTTATTAAGCATATGTATGTACCAAGTTGCATATACTTTAAGTAACTTTTTAAGTGCATAACAGAACACGTATGTAAATATTACCAATATTGTTCACTGGATTATTTAATCCGCTCTGCGGGCGCCTAAAATGGAAAAACAACACGCAGTTTCCATTTTAATTTGTTAATGTATTTATTTTCGACTTTCCGATGGGATTTTTTAGGTCAGTTCGCCTGTTTGTTTTCAATTTTCGTTTATTCGGAATGCTTTTTAATGTCATTAAAATCATTTTGAAGCGCGATTGCTCGGGCACACCTCACACTTTATTTTTGTATAATATTCCGTTTTTTGACACATATATTTTCATAAGCCTTTTTTGTTACAGAGTTTTTTGAAAGGAGAAACGCAAATAATGGCCGACGAAGCCTTTCAGAACGCTGTACAGAATTATTACGATGTTTTTTTGAAATCTGAAAGGGTCGTTAAAATGGTCCAATCTGGTGCTTGTTCGCAATATGATTTTAGAGAAGTTTTTAGGAATAATATAGAAAAACGAGTTAGGTAAGCATCCTTTATTTATTTTTTTACGTACTACTTAAATTACATCGCTTGAAAAACACGCTTTATATAATATTTGCTGCCTAAACAAATTTCCCAAAATAACATCGTTTGATAAATAATATTAAAATCAACTTAACCTGCAAAAAGGGTGAGAATCTTTGTCTCGATTCGCAACGCGAGAAGCAAATAAACCATTTAAACTTTTAAGGTTTCCAGTAGACTTTAATACCTCGCAAAAATTTTATTCAAACATTCGCGATTCTTGTGTTGTATTAAAAAGTTATTTCCTTTCCGTTCACAAGTTATTTTTCGACGTTTAATTCAGGCTGCACTTAAAAGGATTTCCACCCGTGAAATTTATATCCTTTTCGTCTTAGAGCCGACCGAAATCATTTAATTTTAACCTGCAAGAGCAGACGGAGCCGGTGCGAAAATTAGAGGTGAGAAGCATCGTTATAGCAGGAATAATGCGAAACCGAGAATCCTTAAAGTTTCTAACAGGAATAATCCCATTGTGTAGTTCAAATCGATCGCGAAATTAGGAATAGAAATATTATGTAACGATTATACAAGGTGTCATTTTAATAAGGTAACATAGGTGTTTTCGGGTAGAAAAAAAAGAAAAAAAAATGTTTATATTGAGGAGGAAATTTTTTTATATAAAAGAGTATTTAGTATTTTTTTTCTTATTTATCAAATAAAACAATTATTTCCTAATTTTGGCATTTGTCTTTTATTAGAAACGTTTTTTATGTTACATGTAAATTAAGAGAAATTTTATCTTGCCAGTAAATATTTCGAAAACGAATCGCCAGATTAACAATCTTTTATATTATATTCAGAAAAAGAAACCTTTTTAATGATCCATTAAACGACCGATATTCCCTATTCAATTTTTAAGGGTTTGATGATGGTTTTTAGCTCAAAAGATCTCCTCCTGCATATAAAAAATCACTTGTATGTGCATCGATTTTCCAAAAATCGTATTTTTTCTACCCAAAACACCGTTTTTTCCCTTTTCAATGTGAGACACTCCAGACATACGAATCACGTGATTGTTATTTTCGGGCGACACCCTATATATTAGAGATTAGTGTTATTTTTAAAGCAAGCAACTCGAGACCTACTTATGGCCTAGTTGTGCAAATTACATTAAACCCGATCGATTTCGAGCATAGAGCAAAACACATCGAGTCGGCTGCCAAATTTCTTATGATACTGTATCGGAAAAGCGGCTGGCTGGAAGGAAAAATTTAGGGCATTCCTGTTGACTCGAGTTTGACCTCTTTTCGGGTGAGTCACGGCAGTTATTTCGGAACAAAAAATCGGACATTTCCAACTCTAGTGGCAGGAGACGGCAGCCAGATCGATAGCCATCTGGTCGGCGTGTGTATGAAAGACACCGAGCCTTCCTGCTCCTGCTGTAACTCTTACGTAATCTTCCTCTGAAATAAGACCGGCCGCGGAATCGGAGGGGTATATATGATGAGGTCGGTTAAAACCGAAAAAAGTTGCAGGCCAGAATGCCAATTGGTTTTTTTTATGGCCCAGCAACGAGGCGTACGTGTCCCAAATGAGAAAATTGTGCTCCAAATATCGGCATTACAGGCAATTCCTCTTCGCCTTTTTATCAAATAACAAGTTTCAAAATTGTCCTCGGTAATTTCAGTTCATTTCCGCGGAGAAGATCAAGTGCTTTCTATAAAAAACTACATTTCCCAGCGGAAATTAATAACACACCAAATATTATTTTCCTAGATTAAATTTCCAGGAATTAATACGCCTTGAAATAAAACATCTTTACAGCAGCGCAGAATGAAACCAGCGAAATCCAAATTAGTAATCTGAAATTTAATCCGATCCTATTAAAGGATTATTGTAGCAGAATGGGACTTCCAAAGAGAAGTAAACATTTATTGCGCATTGCAGATTCATAACAGAAAATTTTTCCCGTTTCCCAGTAGAAATGCATTATAAAAATGCGTCTGTGCAGAAAAACCGCCCGCGTAATTCGCGCGGATTAGCGGGGGTCGTATAACGTGTAACATTTTCACGGTCGGGTTCTATTAGAATTAAAATTCTGGATGAACATGAACAGCCCCAGGGGTCAGTAAATTCATTAAAGCCGAGAGCGCCCCTTCAACATTTAACTATTGTAAATTTGAGGACTTACGCTGCAATAATAGCCCTAACATACAGGATGTCCCGTCATTACTTTGGGGCATCAATCAGGCTAACGAAGATATTTTAACTCGAATTAACGATTTAACTTAATCGATCACGCTCGTGTTCCTGAAGCGAGCCGAGCTAGAGTGGAAAACGGAAAAGTTTTTATTACTTAATAATTGTGAGAAAGTTTTATTATTTTCAACTTTAATATCATGGACTTATGAACGATAAACGTTGGTTCAAAATTTGGTGCTATTATTATACGGCGGTCTACCTCAAAATGTTCGCTCTACTGTTGCAATAAAGTTCTGAAGGGTTTTTATACCGGATGAAAACTTACTTCGAGATTGAATTAATCACGCTGATTTGTCGAAAATTAAACTAAAAACAGTACTCACAAAATAAACAGAAAGTATCTTTCAAAAATACTAACAATATTTTTTGTATAATTCTTTACAATTTCCAACAACGTAGTCCAAATATGATTGATTATATGAGTGTGTTGGTGAATTGCCTCGCATTTCTTTTCATTTTCAGCACCTTTCAACATTTCGAAATTGAGGTAATATTCCTACACAAATCACAAATTGAAAAGAATCTATAAAAATGTTGTGTATAATTTACTCACAAATGAAAGATTTTATTGGCTCTGAGTAGTTTATAATATTTACGCATGAACGATATACAGATATAATGGTACTTAGTAATCAGTAATCAGTCTTTATTCATCCAGGACTTTTACAAATTGGAATACAGTCAGTACAAAAATAGAAATACAGGGTGTAAAAAGTAGTACGCCACTGTTTTGTAGAAACTTTATTTAAAAATTATTGATAACTATTTCATTTTAAAGTTTTTGGTATTAATAAAATTTTACTACACAGACCCATGTAACAACTACAGTTTTTAATTATTTTCTTTAGAATGATTATTCTATGGCAAAACAAAAAAACTTTTTTGTTTAAAATTAAATGGTTATAATTGCCTAACTTTAAAAGAATTTTTTTAAAAAACAGTGGCGTAGGTACTACTTTTTTAGATAAAATTGAACCAAGACTACTCATATCTACGCCATTGGTTAAAATTAAAAAAATCTGATTTGAAAATACGTATTTGTACCACAATATGTTGTCCTAGAATTTATGTAATATCGCAAACGGTTTTTTTAGAGTTTTTATTTTTAATTTTTGAAAAAAAAAACGCAAATAAAAGCAAAACTACAACCTTGTTTATCAAAAACCAAGCTTCTAAGGACATACCTTTATATGAACTTTTCGCTTCAGAATGAACCCAAGAATCAAACACAACATTAATTAAACCCCTGAAATAAAAAATAACTGAAAATAAACACACTATCTAAAGTTTATTGGTAACAGATTGGTTAAGTTAATCAACTGGTTAATTGAGTAAAGTGTAACATTATTCATGTGATGAACGTGTACCGTAATTAGCGATAAACGATGAATAATTGACATGACCACATATTTGGATGAATGTCATGTGGCAAAGAAACAACAAATGACAAACAACCAAATTAGTAACCACATCAAAACGCAATTTCACCGTAACGCTCTATTGATATTTCACGAAATTCACGAAATTGTGTAATAAAACTTTTAGGCGATCCGAAAGCGCGGGAGTTCCGCGGAAAAGTTGGGATCCTCGAAAGAAATCGGTCGAATTAGAGCGGTTGAAAATTGGCTGAAATGATGAATTACTGATAAGTTCACCGACCCCTTATGTCTTGTAATTAAGGGCCGTGGCAATTTTCGGCCTTTCTTGCCAGGGGCCCGAATAGGCATCACGTAATAAGCTCGTTGAGGGTTGCTGATACACAGCGTTATTATTCGCTCGATTCTATTGGGCGTTCGAGCCCACTGGCACCCTATTATTACCGGAAAATTGTCGAAGCCCCGCGTGTAATTAAACGTATCAATAAATAATCAATCTTCCTGCTATTAGCCTTAATTAGCTTGGTTTACTTATTTACTCGATTAGCGCCGGTTAAGTAGTCGTTGTATATGCAACAAGGATGCCAATCTGTTAGTGCGCCATATGCACATCATTCATATGGCAACACCGCAGATCAACATCTCTAATACAAAAAAAAATCAAAATGTTAATTATATTATAAGACGTTGAAGTAAGTTTGCTATTCCGAATTCATTACAATTGGAAGATTCTCATTAAAGTAATAATAGAAAGCTCCAACCTTTAGTATAGAAATTTTGAGATGAACATCATCTTAATTGGATGCTAAAGCTATTTATACCCGCCCAAACAATTTCTAATTAGAAAATACTATCCGAATTCCTTTATGATACTCCACCATTTACGGAAGTTAACCTATACAGGTCAAGGTGAAATTTGGTGCTCCCTTTTGTTTCCAGATGCCAGAAACATTCTACACATTGCATCTCCCTGCTATTCCACAAAGGATCTTACTTAGATTTACTAATTGTAATAAAAGTTGTCAGAAGCAGGTCCTTTGTGCTCTTAAATAACCTGATAAAATGTCCTCTCTCTGTAGAACCAATTTGTAATCTTTATTGTACCGAATTTTTGGACTATATATCGTTATGGGAAATTGCCGAATTAACCCTCGTTTATAGGAAAATAATTTCGTATTTGGATAGCAAGCACCTACTTCCGCTGTAAAACGGTTAATAGACCGTAATTAACTTTTTGCGAAATTACCTTCATCGACATAGAATTTTCGGTAGGCTAATTACGCTTCTTTTGTGCGGTAGTTTGTTGGTTTTATAACTGTCCAATCTGAGGCTTTAAACGGATATCACAAAGCTTTGTTGCGTTTTAAATTTAACGAGTAGATTTTACGAACTCGAACGGGCCCGAAAAGTTTTACTCAAGCAATCGCTAATTTTAGTTCATTTTATTGCAGATCTTTACCAGAAATGGAAGGATTAAGTAAAGAGACTGTTTTTACGTCCTGGATGGCGAAATTCGACTGCATCTTGAAAGGTAATTATTTTTTCGAACTAAATTAAAGAGTATTAAAAATTATATTTTCGCGTCGCTTTGTTGAATATTAAATCCGAAAATCGAGTACCTCACTTCAATTTCAGGAGTTTAATGCTGCATAAAGACGGAAACAAAACCTTTAATTTCCAAGGCAATTTCTCCAAGAAAAAATGTCACTCAAAAAAAAAACAGAACCGAGGAGAAAAGGGAATTACTTAATAAAAATTTAAGCGATAAGGATTTTTTATTAATCTCTTTTCCATTACGGAGCTAGAGTTGTTTTTTAAATTAACTTGTGTTGTTCGATGCCTCCTGTTTTCGTATTTTCCGAATATAAATTGTAATTTAGAAGTTCATCAAAAACGGCTTTGCGAATATGATAAAAATTTTCCCGGCGTAATGAAGAAATTTTCCTTTTTTTTATTTCTTTCATTCTTCAACTCCCACTTTAAATGAAATTTCATCCCGGAGAGCCACTTTTCGAGCGGATCGTTTTTAAAGCGCGCGCTAAACCATTAGAACGACTTTATTCGCGGCTAATTCGACTATTTCAACGACACATTTACCGGGCCTTTTTCCTTTCCAGTCACCGACGAGGATTCGAAGAGGCCCTCTAGAATGCAACAAAACCTGAATTCCGAATTGATTTTATCCAAAGAGCAATTGTACGATATGTTCCAACAGATACTTGGCGTCAAAAAATTCGAGCATCAGCTACTGTTCAACGCCCTACTGGTAAGTTTTCATAAATTTTTCCACTAACATTAATAATAAGTAAAAACTATACATGACTGTTAGATCATTAAATAATTAACTCTCTTCAGTGTATAAATGAAACTTATGAATGTATAAATGACATTCTTGAATGTATAAAAATGATTCTCAAGAATGTAAAAACGACTCTTTTGAATGTAATAATGACATTCTTGAATGTATAAAAACGATTCTCAGGAATGTAAAAATGACTCTTCAATATATAAATGATACTCTTGAATGTATAAAAGATTCTTTTGAGTTAATTATGACTAATAATGACTCTTTAAGTGAACTAATGTGAGTCTTGAAGGTATAAATAATTCTTTTGAGTGTAAAAAGAATTCTCATGGATATTAAAACGACCCTCTTGAATGTATAAATGACTCTTATAAATGTATAAACGATTCTGAAGGATGTAAAAATGACTCTGGAGTGTGTATAAATGACTCTTTGGAGTGTATAAATGACTCTTTTGAATATATTAATAACATTCTTGATTGTATAAATACTCTAAATGATTCTTTTGAGTGTAAAAATGATTTTTATGATTATTAAAACGACTTTCTTGAATGTATAAATGACTCTAATAAATGTATGAACGATTCTCAAGAATGTAAAAGTGACTCTCTGAAGTGTATAAATGACTCTCTTGAATGACATTCTTGATTGTATAAGATTGTATAAGAAGAACTGTCTTTAATTAAATAACATTCTTAAGTATACAAATGTCTCTCGAGTGTATTAATAATTCTTATAAATCTAAAAATGACTCTCTTCAATGCATAAATGACACTTTTGAATATATAAATGACTCATAAATGTAAAATTGATAAATTTTGAAAAAATGCGAATATACAAATTCATCGAGATACATCGAATATCGTGCAAAAAAAAGTTACATTCGAGTTTCTGTGCCTCCCTGCAACTAGCACGTTGAATTCTGTTTACTCAATCTCCGGCATATCCATGGCAACATCGATGCAATGGGGATAACGGGGAATTATTTTCAGTCATGAAACCACGAAGGCCCGTTAAATAATAATGCCAGTGAAATTCGTAATTACCGGATTGTCGTCGAATTACGCAAGGAGAGCCTAATGGGATCGATGACGGGAAAAAATTGCGTAACTTTATGCCGGGGGAAAAAAAGGGGTTGATTGATTCGCTTCGGCTCTAAGCGAAGGTGGATTTGTTGCGAGTAATTTAAGCGTAATTTAATTAAATTCTCAACGGCGTTTTCGGCCAAACGAAACTGTATTTTCTCAATTGAAATTCCGTCTAATGGAAATATTTTTCGTTCGGAAATTTATCGAGCGAAAGCGTCTTTTTTTTAATGACGAGAGCCGTCGAATTAATTATGTAAAATTTGATTAAATTTCTTGTTCGCAGCTTGATTCGGCCGATGAACAAGCCGCGGCCATAAGAAGGGAGTTGGACGGCAGGATGCAAAAAGTCGCAGAAATGGAAAAGGTAGGATTAATCGATCTCTATCAATTACGTATAAGTACAAAACTTGACATTTATCGAATGGAAATCAATCAAAACCTTCCTCATTTCGGGCCAATCTGTCACGAATTAGAACTCCAGACGACGTCCATTAAAAGCGAATTAATGGAACTTTAATAGCCAGACAGATCTTTGAACGAGTTCGAATTGAATACTCGGAGTTTTAATCAAGAAATTATATTTCACCGCGGAAATTTTATTAGGATATTTTCACATAAAATGCAATTCCTAATGCTATTTCGCGAGGCATTCCGCCATGAAATTTTTCCGCTCGGCGACAATTTTCGAATTTAATTAATAAACTCGAAACCTATTTATACCTTCGAATTCGTTTGAGTCGAACTTTCGCGACGTTAAGATCTGCATGGCATCGCTTTATTAAAGACGCAGTTATGAAGTTAATTTACGAACTAGAGATTGAAACTGATAACTGAAAGTTCGGATGACACAGATGGATTTGTTCGTGCTCAGCACTAAACTCATCTAAGCTTTCGGATTATTGTTACAGTAATTTCGCCCGTTGATCGCCGGCAGTTTTTGATTAGTTTTCCAATCGACAATATTGGCAAAGTTTATAGTATATGCAACTTACTACAACAATACGTAGTAAGTAGTAACGAAATTTCTACCAATATGGGGAATACTTTTTGGGTATATTGTACGAAAAATTATCTGTTCTTAATACTACTAAATACGGTACAGATTCGAAACAAATGGGGTTTATAAAAGATGAAGTGAATATTATTAAACTAGTATTAATATATTATTATAACGAAAGAACTATACAGGGTGTCCCACGATGAGTTAAAACTATCTATATATAGGAAACTACTCATCCGATTTAAATTATATTTGGTATGTATGTGTTATGCAATAAAACGAACCTTTTAAAAATGTTTTGACAGTCGTACCACTTCTAGTTGTATCGGAAGTAAGCATCAACTTTGTTATTTCAAATGGAACACCCTGTATATAAATATATTTTCGAAATTTACGTAAAATTCTAGGGTACTTATGTCGCAAATATTTTTGAGGTTAAACTTTACATTTTTTGTACACACCCTGTATAAAATAAAAAGTTTTTTAACACAGGTTCAAATACCTTTGACCATTCTAGTGGTCACCCTACAGAAACCGTTTAGATATCTTTAAGGAGATCCTTGTAAAAAAATAATTTATGAAGGTCTGCATCGGCCATATTTTTCTCAAAAAAAAATTAATAACTCAAAAAGTACATAGGTAAAAAAAGTTAAAAGTGTATAGGTACAATGGGTTGTTCTGTTGGTTGAAATTGCAATCGTTTGTCCTCGAGTAAAGTTTATATCACGGCGTGGGCGGTAAGATTATTATGCTATGTGGGCGGGAAGGTTCGCTTTTAACTTTTAAAATCGATATTTTTTAACATAGAAACGAGCACGATGATATTTTTCCACGATTTTCATACGTCTATCAGGATTTTCTAAACGCACATAAGTTTTCATGCAGCGGATTAGAATTTCATAACATGCGCTGGAAAAATATCTTTCAATCCGATGGAACGTGTATAGTGTAATCCTTAAGTGGGCCGCTTTTATATTATATCCCTAATCTCTTTTTGATACTTTTGCAATAAACCGAAACAAATACAAGAAACATGTGTATAGCCGAGTTCAACTGTACGTTTTAGATTAATGGCAAAAGCATCCGATTTCCTAAACCTATTTAGACAAACTCGAACTATTAACGAACAATTAATGATTCATAACAAGAATAACGGGAGTTGGGAATTAGGTAACATTCGAATTTGAATAAATATGCAAGGTATACTACCTCCCGCTTTAATTGACAGCAAGTAAACTTGCAAAGTTTGCGCAAAGTTTAATTATTTTTCAATGAATTAGAATAAAGTAATTGCACATCCTCGAGCGGCACTGGCGCGCGGCTTTTCCCTCGCATATTGTACATTGAAGTTTTCACTTGCAAAGAAATTTGCGTAACAGCATCGTAAAAACAACAATCAATTAGCGAGTTTCGAGTTTGAATGCATAACAATATCGTTCCGCGAAGCACCGAATCTAGTAAACAACAAGCATTGTAAATGACGGGTCTTATGTTGCAAGCGTTACGCCCGGAGGTAGAGACTTTATCAAATTCCCAAATTAAACTCCCGGTTATAAAGCAGAAAGTCAGCTAGCGCGAGCTATTCAATTGAATTAACAAACGATTTGAAAAGAAACGGTGCATTAATTTTGTTGCGATCTACGTATAGAAGCGGGTTTAGACAGGTACTGTATGCTATTAGATTCACACACACATTCACCCAACTAAACCTGCCTCTTTACGTCTTTGAAAATTTTTTATAATGAATATAATCAAACAGTTATTCATCGTTCGTTATTAATTAGATTTTACCTATCGTTCCAATGATTTATCCGCGGTTACAATATTCTTTCATTAAAACGTACAATTAATTAATGCATTTTGTATTACATTAAAATTATTCGATCGAAATGAACTTTATTTTAACGGAATGTCCGTAATAGTTAATCGATTCGATCATTTTTTTGTATCAATTATAGCCGAATGCATTCAATCGTAGTGCATGAATTGAAATTCGCGGAGTTTCGCATCGAAATTAGGTTGAATTTATTCGCAATATTAATGGATTGATTCGTGTGTTGCGGAGTTCAGTAGATGCGGTTATTTTCGAAACCGATACGTTTTATTCATAATCGATTACGAGCTCTTATTGTTTTACAATATAACCGCAATTTCACGTGGTTTTTTTATGCCTATATGGAGTTTCGGTTATTCCGAATAACATTTGCATCTGCTTTATGTACCTACGGATAGAAATTATTGTTTTGACACGGTGTTTTTTTTTACATAAATGGATGATGGTTGTATTTTTCTGCATCCCAAATGTGCTTTTTCGCGTTTCAGAGATCGCATAAAATAAAATTAAGCTCGCATCCCTTGGTCTTCTTGTATAATAAAAATATCCCCACACAAATTTAATGCATTTACATTTAAAGCGACTATCACTCACCAATCGAATAAATATTTTACAATGGAACCGGCATAAAGTTCAATCTTCAGATAATATGACTGACGTTTCGAATAATTTAACTTTTCTTCATTGCCGCTTTGTAATGGGTATACGTTGTTACAAATAATTAGGATTACTTGGATTATATTGTAGCTTACAACAGGGTTATCCGGGCGCTTTGAAGCCTTTTTGCTGCATTTAATATGTAAATCGAAATTGCAGTAAATTGTAGCCGGGAAATTACTTACCGAGGTAACGAGCAATTCGCATTGTTTTTTTTGCTCGGTGAGCCAATTAGGGAAAATTGGACAAAAATATTATGCAAAGTTGTGGAATTGTTAATGAAAGTTAATTTCAATTTCACAATCCTATTTAGTCTACTAAAAGTTGCGGAGAGTTAATTAATTTTTTTGAAATAGGTGCATGTGTGTTTGCAACATTAAAAAAAGCCCATGTTCAACTTAGAAATATTTAATTAGAAGTTATTTAATAGCTCGCGTGTGATAAAAATTAACATAACGATGGCCTGTTCGCTCGCTCCCGAAAATTATACATCGCATCACCGGCATGTAAAGCGGTCGGGAAATAATCGTTGTTATGAAATTCTCCCTTTTTAACGGAATTCTCAATGGGTTTCCCAAAAAGTATCCGGCCATTGTTTTTTTGCGTTTGTTAATCACCGCGGGACTCCCGGGAAACAAAGAAACACCGTCCGAATGGAATACATGGAAACGTGTAAGATAATACTCGGGCTCCTTTTTTACGATTCTAAAAATTCACGCTCGAATGTATCGCAAATACAGCCAATTCGAACAAACAAATCCGTCAATAGTCTTAAATGCTAAGGGCGAGGCGAATTAAAAACTTATTTAACGAGAAATGGAGAGGAGTACGATGTGAGATTAACCGGATATATGAGTAGGAATAAGTCATTAGAACTCGAAGCAGTTTTCAATTGCTAAAAATATTCAATGTTTTAGGTCATATAGGTATTTTAAATTTAAAATTTTGACTCGTGTTAAGTCACTAACCAATCACAAAATGAACGAGTTACATTATATCATTAGTGGCTAAGAATTCGAACGAAATGTTCGGAAAAATTAAAGAAACGAACAAAAGTGAAATGTAACATCAAATGACAGATGACATGTCTAGGGTTAGGTTATTGTACTATTTGTTTTAAGTTTATTGGGCCAAAAATAAACACTTGAATGAAGAATTTTCACAAAACGACATAAAACAAGTTTTAACTACCTCTTCAGACGCGACATTATTAAATTGGATAAGCTGATTTGATTGGAAGTTAAGTTTTTGTTTTTATAAATTTGACAAGTTTAAAAAGTCAAAAGTATAGGTTCGATGTTGCCACATTAACATTTTTACTAAACAATAATTTAGAATTTAAGATACTTACAGTAAAGTTCGCTTTATATTTTTCGAATAAATCATAACTGTGTCAAGAAATACAAAAAATAAATTATAGCATAGACATACAAGCAAAGGCATTTTTTTTCAGAGTAGGAATATAGTTGACAACGTCGCTAAAAACGATATTTACCACCAATTCTTAATGTGATTAGTTAATTACTTGTAACATATTTCAAATTTTAAAAATTAATTGTGGCCTTAATAGGAAACGGAGAAATTTAAAATTTTCATAAGAAGTAGTATAATAGGAAAGTTAATAAGTAGTTTCATAAAAAAATTAAACAAAATGGTACTCCTCTCCATTGAAGAGGTTTGAAACCAAAACAGGAAACATCAACGGTCTTAAACATCGAACAATGATACAGATACTCCATGAGGATTCAAAAATTCCCCGTCGAAACCGCAAAAGGCGCGGTGGAATTCGCGAAAAAGCGAATTCCCGACTTCCACCCGTCATGTTTGACCTTTTTCCTCATTTATTACGCTTCCGTTTTGATATACTTCAACGCCCTCGCCTCACTTTTCCTAACGCAATAATAACGGAATCCGTTTCCGAGCATAAATATTTATATAATCGCCTAATGAAAAACCGTCCCGAAAAAAAGAAGGCGCCGTACGTTCGAAAATCATCCGGGAACTCGACGGGAATCATCGGAACGATGGAAGTGGCATTGTCACGTTTCCGCCACTTCTCCTTTTTTTTTCCCTTCGCTCTCTCCACATCGCCGTAATTAGAGCGCCTTCGTTTCTTTCTCAGATCAAGAGCGCTGCTATCAGCGGGGCGACTCGCGCTTTTGAGAGTTCTTCACCTCATTCCGAATGAGAGAGCACAATGCCAGTCGCAAATGCTCACACATGTGAATTGCAAGCAGGTGAAAATAATTACTATTGTCAGCGATTGTACGTACTACGTTCCGGCAAAAAGATGAATATGTCTGCGTATAGGGCGATCCCTAGAATGTGGATGATGCATTTACATTAAAAGATTTTACATGTAAATTCGACGATTTTATTAGAATATTTCGATGAGATTTCAGATGAAAAATTCATTAAAAAGTCATCTAAAAGTTCCTGGAAGCTTTTTATTGTGAAGTTTTCTAGTTTATCCTTGATTGTTCTAAATACTCCTGAAGATCTTAACGATTTTGAGTAGTTTCAAATGATTCTTAGATGGTCTTGAATTGTTTCGTATAGTCTAAGTGTTCTAAAATGGTTCTGAACGTTTACGAATAGTTTTAAATCATTATATTCCTAATTTTTTTGACAGTTTCAAATAGTTCTTAAATCCTCTCAACTACTTCAAACAGTTTTAAAATGATTGTATTTTTAATTATTCTGAACTTTAAATGGTTCTAAGATCGCCTTGAACTGTTTCAAATGGTGCTATAGGCAGTTCCAAATGACTCTATTGTTAATTATTTTGAAGATTAATGATTCTAAAATGGTCTTGAACTGTTTCAAACGGTCCAGGATAGTTCTAAAATGGTTCTAAATGATTCTAGATAGTTTTTACCGGTTTGAACAGTTCTAAAGTAATCTATTCTTAATTATTTTGAACTGTTTGAATTGGTTTTAAAATGGTCCTGAACTGTTTCAAATGGTCCTAGATAGTTCTAAATGATTCTATTCATAATTATTTTGATTTTTTTAAAGGTTTTAAGATGTTCTTGAAATCTTTTAAAAGGTCCTAGACATTTCTAAATGATTCTATTCTTAATAATTTTAGACTGTTTCAAATGGTTTCAAATGGTCGTCTTGAACTGTTTCAAATGGTCCTAGTTCTAAAATGGTTCTAAATTATTCTGGATAGTTCTAACCGGTGTTGACCAGTTTTAAATGATTCTATTCCTAATTATTTTGGACAGTTTCAAATAGTTCTAAGATGGTCTTGAATTATTTTGAAGTCTCAAATAGTTTTAAAAGGCCTTGAATTGTTTTAAATGGTCCTACACAATTCTAAATGATTTTATTCTTAATCATTTAGGACATTTTAAAATGATTGGATTTAATAAAATGATTTTAAAATGTTTTTAAGATCGTCTTGAACTGTTTCAAATATTCCTAGTCATTTCTAAAATGGTCCTAACTGATTCTGGATAGTTTTAACCTAAACAGTTCTAAATTAATTATTCTAAATGATTTTGAACAGTCCTAAATAATTTATAATTACTTTGGACAGTCTCAAATGCTAGTAAGATCATCCAAGACACTGGCAAAATTGTTCTATAAATGATTTGGATAGATTTAACTGGTTTTGACAAGTCCTAAATGATTCTAATTTTAATTTTTTTGGACAGTTTCAAATAGTTCTCACACGGTCTTGAAGGGATTGAAACGGTACTAAGCAGTTCTAAAATGGCTTTTAATGCTTCTGGATAGTTCTAAATGATTTTGAAGAGTTCTAAATAATTTGAAAACATCCTGTATATTCTATCTACCTATTAAAAAAATATACAATTTATTGGTATCAATTTTTCGATTAAAAAATTATACAATTTATCTGTATAAATTTTTAATAGGCATTTTCAAATCAACAGTGATATTCCATTTATATTATATCAATTTATATTAATTACATTATCCGCTTAGTTCTTTTCAGTGCGTATATTGTTACGTTATCGATTGTAATTTATGAATTTATTTATCGAAATTAATACCGCCGTTCATTAATGCGGTAAAGGGAATGAAAATCCGATCGGAGCGAGGTAGAGCACGATCATCTTACTAATTTTAAAGTTTCACTTTGTTATAATTCGCGACGAAGGGAGAGACCTTTCCGAAAAATTAGCGCTGTTAAAAAATCGAATTTTCGATTTTTATTTTAGGTCGCTCACTTTAAAAAGCTAAAATTAGCCCCGAATAAAATGAACAAAATGCTCTTTAAGGAATCAATAAAGAATTATTTTTTTATCTAACATTTTGGGCTATTTTAAAAAATATTAATGTTTTGAATGACTTAATATACTCATTTTGAGTCGCTCAATTTAAAAAGCAAAAATTGGCCCCGAATAAAATTTCCTAAGTATAAACAAAGTGTTTTTTAAAAAGGATCAATGATGAATTTTTTTATAAGGACTCCAACATTTTGGGTCACCATTTATAAGATATTGATGTTTTGAATGATTTTATAAATACTCAACGAAAATTGCCTTGACTACCCAAAGTATTCTTCGGTTTTTTTTAATACAGCCTTTAATATAAAATGTTTAAAAGTAATGTCGTAATGTTTTATAGATATTTACAGGATAATTTGCATTTTGTGTTACAGAACCGCAAATTAATGCCAAAGTTCGTGCTGAAAGAAATGGAGTCACTTTACATCGAAGAGCTAAAATCGTCGATAAATTTATTGATGGCGAATCTGGAATCGTTGCCCGTATCGAAAGGATCGATGGATTCGAAATATGGGTTACAAAAACTAAAACGCTATAATCACAGGTTGCATAACCATAATAATCCGTATAATGTGAAGCACATTTTGATGAATTATGTTACTTCTTTTAGATCGCAAGGATCTTTAGCAAAGCTCGAAGGCGACTCCGCGGATAGTGATACGCAGCTAACAAAGCTCGATGTCGTTTTGACATTTCAACTTGAGGTGAGATTTTATTTTCCGCGATTTTAACGAATTTCGATCCTAATTCAACAGTCCAACGGGAGAATTCACATGGATAAATGCAGATTTATTTGCAATTTTATGAGTTGAACTTTTTTAACTGAAAGTTTATATTACAATTTTAATAGCTCCGGGCAGTATCAACTTTAAAGCCTGCAATAATCGACCCGATATATGCGCGTATAAATGAATTTTTAGCGGTTCTATTTGTTTAATTCGAATTATAATTTTATTTTATTATTCATGCCGCCGGGTTTATTGAATTATCCAGTAACCGAAGTTCCATTAAAGTTTAAATCAGGTGTACGGCAATTCAATTCAATAGCGGTTTTCTTTAATTAAGCGAATCGAAGTAAAGGTTTCGTTTTAAAATGGATTTACCATTGGATTTAAAAGGATGTAATACTGGTAATAATTTTACGTGATAATGCAACTGAGTAAATTCGATTTATTAATTAACGATAACAATCGTTAAAAGTATAGAAATTACATCGGAAGTGATTGGCATTTATAGCAATGCGCTGGCAGAGGTAAATAAATTATAATGGAAATGCGTTCGTATAAATCAATTGGCATTTATTTATGAGCGATATGGTGTAATTAACGCTCTAAAATCGGCTGAAACAGGATTTTAGGAGACTAAAAATAGCAATGTTATGATGAATTATCATGTTCGCTCTAAATATATTTCTAAATATAATCATACCTACTGTTGCGGCATTGGTGAAAGTACAAATTGAACCCTCCGCATCGATTGCAAAACCCTATTTATAATTTAAACTTACCTCCCCACGGTATCATAAGTTAATTTATTACTTCTAGCGTACCGCGGAATATTATTAGTGCTTTCACTTTTTGATTAGATATGCAAAGCAAAGTCGAATAATACCAGGTTTGATATACATATCTGGCACTCATGTATTTTTTCTCACAATTAAATATTCTATACCATATTAACGAATATTTTCCCCGTCTGTACAAACCTAAACAAAAAGCAAAAACACATTAAATATTTAACACCGAAAATAAAATTTAAAAACACCCTTCCTATATGCTCCACGTGATTCTTTAAAAATAAATCGCCCAACAATACGCACAAAAAAATCTTTTGTACTACGAAACAAAAATAAACCAAATAAATCTCTCCTGCGAAACTCCCATTGATGAGCCAGCGTTTAGTACACGCTTAATTTCCGCGAGACGGGAAATCGAATTTTCGTAGCGCTCCCGCGACCGATACAACTTTCCCAACTTTTCATTCATTAACGTATAAATCGAGCTCGCACACCCCAGGCTCCCTCTCTCCAAGCCGTCGGCGAACTCGATGTTTTTTGCAGCAGCGGCTTCGCAGATTTATTGCCCTGCTGATGTGGAGAGGTCGCTTCCCCATTCATTCGAACGGATTCGAAATCGATAGCCCCCATATTGCAGGTTCCTGCAGGATAACCGGATTCCCAGTTGCCAATTACTCGCTCTATTCCCGAGCGATGTTGTCGAGCTGCGTAAATATTCCTGCTGTTTTGAGGATTTTGGCGGGTTCACTAAAGTACCCACCAAAAGTTGAGATTGTTAATAGCTCCAAAAAATTAACAACCTACATACAATATTTCTTTTGAATTAAGTGGTGAAATGTTCTTTCATTGTGTTGATAAAAATTAATTAGCTCTATTAAATTTTATAGACAGTTTTGATAGTGATAATAAGAAATAATTGGCAAAGCATTCTAAAGCACATTGATAAGGCAAATTATTAATTATACCTCAAATCAAACTGATTAGATAACCCGTATATTTTTTAACCAAATAATTAATTACATAAAAATTTGTCTGCAATTCACGCAAGCTTTTTAAATGCCGCCCCATCCATTTTCAGCTCGATTAAAATTAACGGGATAATAATTTCGAGCGCAACATAATTAAACAGTAAATAGTAAATGCTTAATGAAGGTCAAATTAACGTATGCCGTTAGAAATAATTCAATTAGGCGCGGGGTTAGTCGAATTACTGCGTGAAATGCGAATCAATTTGCCTAACACTCTGATGAAATTGATGAGCAAAATCCCGAATATCGATTGGACTGATGCAATTACGAGGGGTCGAATATTTAAGTACATAACAATAATTTATGGAAATTCCGCTTCTACCAGTCGTTGCCTTTGCCTTTGCAGGTGATTGTAATGGAAGTTAGGGGTTTGAAATCGTTGTCACCGAATCGGATAGTTTACTGTACGATGGAAGTTGAAAACGGGGAAAAATTACAAACAGATCAAGCCGAGGCTTCGAAGCCTATGTGGGATACGCAAGGCGATTTTTGCACAACCCACCCGTTGCCCATCGTTAAAGTTAAATTGTACACCGAAAATCCGGGCGTGCTCGCTTTAGAAGACAAAGAACTAGGAAAAGTTATTTTGAAGCCGACGCCTCTGTCATCTAAGGTAATTATTTTTCAATTTATTTACGAACATGTGACACTAATTAAAACATATTACACACAGTGGTATCAAGACGAAGTGAGCGTTTTTAATTTATTTCACATTCTATGAGGAGTTTATTGTATTTTTACATTCAGTAGCTGTAGACATAGTTAGCTCTTTATTATTGCTATATTCTTCAAATTTTATACTTCAAATCAATATGTAATGTTTTTATTAAATAATCATTTATTAGGCTATTCTTTTTGGTCCGCTTGAATAAAGTAAATTCAAATGGTATATTTTTGCTATTAAATTCTTTGGAGTAACTTTTTTGGCTGTACGAAACGCTTCAGAGGACGCGTTGATGACCTACTTTCTATCTATACAAGTTGCGAATTATGTAGATGTATATTTAAAACTTCGCAACTTAAATTGAAAACGCGAAAGTTTTGTATTAGTAATTCGAAATTTCAGTTTTATATAATACAAACCGTTAAGTAGATTTATTGTTCGTTACAGTTTGAATTTTTATCTAATGGTAACTGGCTTTTCCGTAACGGAAGTTGATTTTTTTTGAAAAATTGCATGTTCAATTTCCCTCTAGTAGTCAGTACAACATTACATGATATACAATTGTACATAAAACATAAATGAAATCCAGTCGAATTCGATCATTAAACTCCGGATATCCGCCCACAGGCACCGGAATGGCACAAAATGACAATACCGAAAAATTGCCCGGACCAGGATTTGAAAATAAAAATAGCGTGCAGGATGGACAAGCCGCTGAACATGAAGCACTGCGGCTATTTGTACGCGATCGGAAAGAGCGTCTGGAAGAAATGGAAGAAGAGATATTACGTCCTAGTCCAAGTATCCCAATACACATTCGCCATGTGCAGTTACAAGGAGAAGAAATCGGAACCGTCTGAGATGATGCAGCTCGATGGGTACACCGTCGATTACATCGAGGCTTCAAGTGGTAAGCAACCTCGCAGTACCTACACCCCCAGCAATTTAGACTAAACTGTTTTTCTATTTCCAGCGAACTTGATGGTGGGAATGGGTAAGCGTAAGTTACCAAAATTGTGTATATTTCACAACGCTCGATTTTCGTACTGACGCAATCGTTTTGCAGACTTGGAGGGTGGTAGATTTTTCTTTAACGCCGTCAAAGAAGGGGACAGTATCATTTACGCGAGCGACGACGAGAACGAGTGCCACCTTTGGGTCATGGCTATGTACAGGGCCACCGGGCAATCACACAAACCCACGCCCCCGCTCACCCTGCAGGATAAAAATTCCACCATTTCCAAACTACAAGGAGGTAGGTTGACCAGCATTCCGCCATTTCGCTACTGAGAGTCTTCAGTAGACATACAGCGTGTGTCACGACGATGGCCCATTTCATGTATTCCGAAACGTAGGGGTAATTAAAATCAGAGAACTTTTCCTTACTACCAGATAAATAGAGTTAACGACAAATACTTTTTTTCAAATTTTAGTTACCACTACTTTTTCTAGTCTTTGGGCGATTTTGTCTTGGGTGATTTTGTCTTTGGGCTATTTTGTCTTGGGTGATTTTGTCTTTGGGCGATAATTTCTTTGGACTATTTTGTCTTTGGGCGATTTTGTCTTTGGGCGATTTTGTCTTTGGGCGAATTTGTCTTTGAGCTATTTTGTCTTTGGGCTATTTGTCTTGGGTGATTTTGTCTTTGGGCGATAATTTCTTTGGACTATTTTATCTCGGGTGATTTTGTCTTTGGGCTATTTTGTCTTGGGTGATTTTGTCTTTGGGCGATAATTTCTTTGGACTATTTTGTCTCGGGTGATTTTGTCTTTGGGCGATAATTTCTTTGGACTATTTTGTCTCGGGTGATTTTGTCTTTAGGCGATTTTGTCTTTGGTCGAATTTGTCTTTGAGCTATTTTGTCTTGAGTGATTTTGTCTGGCGATTTTATCATTGGGCGATTTTGTCTTTGGGCTATTTTGACGGGATTGCCACCGACTTCTGATGGGCCATCATCGTGACACACAGTGTATCTCTCACATATTGCTCTAGTCGCATTTTCAACTTAAAAAAATCTTAGGGCGTTTGTTTTCAGACGCAGACAGAGCGAGGAAGCACGGAATGGAGGATTTCATATCCGCCGATCCCTGTCAATTCGATCACGCTTCACTGTTTCGATTGCTGCAGAACCTCACGCTGGAGTACAGGCTGAACGACCCCTATTGTTCATTGGTAAGTTCCATTCGCGTTGTTGTCTTACACATTTTATACTGAATAAGTTGGGGGGGTAGAATGGAACAAGAGACGAGTAAATTCAACTAACTAAGGTGATGTTTATTTATAAACGCACGCACTTACACACATCACAATATACGAGTAAATAGTTTATTGATTGTGTATTGATTGTAGTGAATTGTTATGTTTCAGGGATGGTTCAGTCCTGGTCAAGTATTCGTTTTGGACGAATATTGCGCAAGATACGGCGTGCGCGGTTGTTACAGACATTTATGTTATTTATCAGACCTTTTAGATAGAGCCGAGAAAAATTTAATGATAGATCCCACCCTGATTCACTATAGTTTCGCGTTTTGCGCTAGTCACGTGCACGGAAACAGGTTTGTAGATTATGATAGGGATGAAATAAACCGATTAATTGATTACAACAGTAATAACTTTAGACCGGACGGAGTCGGAAGCGTTACGCACGAGGAGAAGGAAAAATTCCAAGAAGTCAAAGAGCGCTTGCGCGTTTTGTTAGAAAATCAAATTACTAATTTCAGGTAAGAGATCGCTTTTGTCAGGCTCCACTCGACACAATTTTTTTACACAAACTGAAAACGGAACTCAACGGCTTCGATCACGCATTTTATGGTCAAACGTTGTATGTACATTTAAATAAACAAATTTCAACAAACACCTGTAAGCTTTTGGCTGAAATTGCATACACTGAATGTATGTGGAATTATTTTTTATGAAGAGGTAGTAAGTAAATAAATATGTGTAAGTATTCCAACGGAATGAACCAAATAAAAGTCTATTTATACCTACCTCATCACTACAGCTCGGAATATATGCAAGATAGTTTCCCAAAATATGCCGAGAATATGCAAATATAGTAAGGTTTATGCATCATTGGAAGAGCGTAAAAAACGTATTTGAACTTATATTTCATCATTTTTACTCTCATTTTTCGCAAATTTTTGAACATTGCCTTTGCTCATTTTTTATAAATATTTGAAATTTTTCACTCTTATTATATCTCTCTTTTTCGAGATTTTTATGAAATTTACATAAATTTGCCATTTTTAATAAATAATCCTAAATTTTCAATCTTATGTAATCTATTTTCACCATTTTTATGAAATTTACATCAATTTGGTAATTTTTAATGAAAATTTCAAATGTTTCTTCCAATTTCTCTCTCTTTTTCGCTATTTTCGATTAAATTTAAATTAATTTGCTAATTTTTAATCAAAATTTCACTTTCATTTCCTCGCTTTTTCGAGGTTTTTCGGTTTTTTGATTTATAAAATTTACATATTGCTATTTTCAATGAATAATGCAAATCTTTCAATCTTATTCTCTTTTTTACCATTTTTATGAAATTTTTATCAATTTGTTAATTTTTTTATGAAAATTTCAAATGTTTCACTCTCATTTCTCTCTCTTTTTCGCTATTTTTATGAAATTTATAATAATTTGCTCATTTTCAATTAAAATTTCAAAATTATCACTCTTATTCTCTCTCTCTTTGGCTATTTTTATGAAATTTGCATCAATTTTTCCGTCTCATTCATTCTCTTTTCCGCAATTTTTATCAAATTTACATCAATTTGCTCATTTTTACAAAAATTTAAAATATTTGAAACAACACTACAAATTTGAAACCCTCATTTCTTTTATCAACTTCTTTAATTTAATTTTTTATATATTTTATGTATCCTCAACATTATGATTATCTTTTTCCTTTTTCATTAAATTGAAACCCACAGATAACGAACCATTTTAAGACTCTTATTTACTTAAAATCTCAGAAATTGCTAAGTAATTTTAACGCTAGATACTCAAAATACTCGAAATATGCAAAATATGCAAAAATCATTCAAAATATGCAAATATTACTCAAAATATGCAAGAATTACTCAAAATATGCATATATTACTCAAAGTATGTAAAAATTACTCAAAATGTGCAAAAATTACTCAAAATATACCCAATATGCAAAAAATCAGTTTGCATATAATCCGAACTTTACTCATCACAATGAAAAATGAATTGCAAATTGTATGTACATTTCACGCAATATATTATATTAACAATTACGTGTAAAAGTATAACATATTATTTTGTAGGTATTGTTTTCCTTTTGGTAGACCAGAAGGTGCTTTAAAAGCAACTCTTTCGTTATTGGAAAGAGTTTTAATGAAAGATATTGTCACACCAGTGCCTCCCGAAGAAGTTCGTGGAATGATTAAAAAATGTCTAGAGACTGCTGCCTTAGTAAACTATACTAGGTTATCATCAGAAGCTAAAATCGAAGGTAATTTTGGACAGTTTTCGCGTTGGATCGGCGTGATGGTAACAACTATCGTTTCATTGCAGAAGATTTAAGGGGCGAGACAATGGTTTCGCCTAGCAAGAAATTAGATGATTTAATTCATCTTGCTGAGCTTTGTGTCGACCTTCTACAGCAAAACGAAGAACATTATGCAGAGGTAAAACTGATAATTTTTATACAATTTATTAAAACATTTTTAAAGTGAAAAATCATTTTTCGATTGATCTTGGTTCATATTAAAATAAAAAAAAATTGTATTCAATTCGTTGTGGAGGATTACTAGGTGTTATTGATATTTGAAATGTATTAGTAATTCAATATAAAATAGAAAATATATTTTATTGTAAAAGAATAAGTGGGAATTTGATAGTCAGCTTATAATTGTGTTAAAATTGATAAACTAACAAATGTGCATTTGTATTTAATTCCGTTTTTCAAATTTAGGAACACTAAAAATATTTGTCGCAAAATTTCATTCGGCTTTCCTGAATTTGAAAAACAAGAAATCGAAGAATTTCAATTAATTAAATGTATTATTCAATATGTAATTGACAGTGTATAAAGCTCTGTTCTATTATAAAAATTGTACACTATTTTTCCTACAATATTTAATACATTAAGGAAATTAGGTTAATTAAATATAGATATTTCAAAGAACGTATAACTAACTTTAGAATTTAATAAAAAAAGTGTGATTTAGCTAAAGGGTGCTAGAACAAATTGAATAAAAAATAAGTCAATTAATTTCCTGTGTCCAAAAATTATGAAAATTCAGTTAAATTTTAGACCATTTTAGGTATAATCAAAAAAGCACGTACTGGTCCACAAAAGTTAAAGAAGTTCACAAATATTGAGATTAATTTAAAAGTTGCAGGTTTCTTGATCGCCAAATTTAGTATGAGTTGTAGAGGTAGGGACAAAAAAACCACTCAGATATGAGATAAAACATTTAATTTCGCATATTTGAGAATTTGGTGATCAAAAAATCTGTAACTTTTAAAATAATCGCAAAATTTGCGAACCTCCTTAACTTTTGTGGAGTAGTTTATTTTTTTAAAAGCTATCCATTCATACTTCGAACCGCCACCACACACTTAAGGGTGGAAAATGCCTATTTTTTATTGCAGATTCGGAATCCTGCCATCAAAATAGGCTAATTTTACTCGCAGCCTTTTACAAAATCATCAAAAAAATGTTAAAATTTGAAAAAAACCTGCTAATAATGATCTTCCATCCAATCCCCTGTGGTTGGGTCAGGAGTAGCTTGAATAATTTGAGTAGATTTTTTTTAATAAATCAATTTTCGAAAATTCTGCATTTTACATTAAGGATTTTGAAAAATGTTTCGGGCAAAACTTTAACAGCGTATTTTGATGCCAGGATCCCAAATCTACAATAATATTTCCCCTTTAACTATTTATAGTTGCTCCCCATCGCGCACCCTTAAGGGAAAGGAAAGGGGGTTAATATTGATAGCTTTTGAAAAAATATTGCATTCGTGTTGTTTTGATTTCACATTTGGACACTCAGTATACAATTGTAGGAAAACCAAAAACAGTACCAAGTCGAACAAAAAAAAATCGAACGCGCGCATTGAAATTCCTCGATGTTCTCTTTTCCGACGTAATATGTGTGATATGTATTTAATGTTATGTGTTATTCTGTATGTATATGTAGCAACTGCGCAAGGCAGACCGGCAACCGTCAAGTCAAGCGGCCTCGGCGGGCGCAAATACAAATTCTAGTCAGCCAGCGCCCGCTCCAGGCACCCCTGGCGGCCGCGACGCCAAGCACCCTTCTGTGTCTCGCTATTGCATGCCTCAGCATGCTACTTACACCCCACCAGATCCTACGGCACGTACATTCTTCTATCTCTCTCTTTTACTTCGTTTTAACTATGCCGGATACTGACGCTGTCCTTTTTTTTTTATTCACCCGGGTTTGAAGCGCGGCGCAGCAGGAATGACTGGAGACGTGACCTGCGCACTTTAAACCATTTAAGATAGTATTGGATGTTGTACCTAAATTATCGCGCCTATAGTTATGATAAATTTGTATTGTTTTATTCCTCATTTATCGCAGAATCAAGGAATTAATACAGACTTTCTGAATATTCTTTTCATTTTTTGTAATAATCAAGATGTCATTATTAATCTGTAATCTGTAATCTTTAAAATTAAGTTTTTCTGTTTTTTTTGTTGAAAGTTTGAAAGGGGCTATTACTGGTTCACTTACTCTATTGCGCATGTCACTCTCACGTCTCCAGCTATTTTCGTTGTATTGTGAGATTATTTGGAAACAATATTTTTTTATTATTTCGCTAAATTTAAATTGACATTTTAATACAAAAAAGGACAGCTTTATAACTGTATGTTAAAATTCTGGATATTTTTAACGAATATACGAATTTTAGCATAGAGTTGAGAACATTTTAAGACACATTAAATACTTTTTAATTCGAGAATACACGCATAAGATACACGAAAACAATCGGTTTCAATTCGGTGAATTATATTTGAAAAATGTAAATATATTTTCGCATGGTTGTCGAAATTATCCTTCGAAAATAGATCCCCGTTTTAGATCAATCCTTTTGTAAATGATATTAACGTGCATTTTAATTGTGCTGCCTAGCGAGGATTGAATATGTGTATTCTTTAAAAAGCCTTTATGTGTGTACCCCTAAACTATTTCATATATATTTAAAAAAATCGTATATGAAATAGTTTGTAGAATAATTTGACTAAAAAGGAGTCGCTACATTTGTATACGAAGTAAAAAGTTGGTGTATAATTTATCTAGTTAAAAAGATTTAATTACTTTAACAACTCATTTGCTTTATATTCGTTGGGTTTACCAAGTTTTAATAAAGTTGCTGCTATTAAGCAAGAATAAAAAATGTAGCGCTTCCGCCAAAATTTGAAATAGAAACGTTCTTCTAATTTCATACAGCATTTAATATGTCAGATAAGTATTCTTGAAGCTATTTACTCATTAACCAGTAACTAACAGGCAATAAAAATATGCTGTATTCGCTGGAATAACAATTTCGAAAATAATAAAACGATGACATTTCCGAGCCAGGTGCCGACTGACACAACTACCTCATTAAAAAACGTGTCGGTACATTCGAAAAAGTTATTTTCGATCAAATTAACAGTAACTCAATTGGATGAAACGTATAAATAAATTCCCTTCAGCGACGCATCGACGAAAAATTATTTCTGTTTGTTTTGATATTTTGAATACGTTTAATTCGCTGAAATTTCGCTACTTTGCTTATCGGTGTTTGCGTTTATGTTTCCTTTCGTAAGATTTGCTATGAACTCTTTGGGCAATATCTATTCATTGAAAATTAAAAAAATCAAAAAAAAATCGCATGTACAAAAAAATACATGTATTTTACGAAGACTACTAAAGTGAGGTAATTTACTCCAAAATATCAATGGGTTGTTTATAAGATTCAATCGGATCCGTCGAGAAACCAACGCAAGATTTAAATGTTCGAGGAAATTTTCGAAGTATTGGCAACACTTCTTGTACTATATAAACTAGCAATTCAGGATTCCTGATTCCTGTTAGTATGATTGCAATCGTGTTCGAGGAATATAGGGCACCCGCGTTGCTACAGCAGGAAGATCGCAGGATTTGCGCAATGGCAAACTCGATTCGGCGACCAGATGATTTTCCCAACAATTCGAAAGTCGCACGATTACAGTAAAAAACCGATCGGAAATAACCAAATTCGTTGCGTGTCAATCCAGTATCGCGATTAATTCATGGAAAAATAAACTTTTACCATGGGATAAGTCGAAAGTTTGCCATATGCGCGAGTGTCATAATACCATGCGTGAAGGAATTTCTATCTAATTAATGCCCGAGTAAAATCCGGAGTGCAAATCAGGGCGCGATTGTTCCGCTCGGTTTATGCATGAAAAAAAAAAGTTTATTTAAAACTTGCGTTTCGGACGGATCTCGCCGCAAATTCCGGTTAATTGAATCTTAAAAGGAACTTGTAACCTGACGTTGCTTTTGTGTGTTAGAAGTTGGCGGGTTTTACTAATTGTGGTGAATGATCGTTTTCGCACTAATTTTTCTCCGAAAGCATCCGACCTGGTGTTTTGGTAATGCTATTGGTGTCTAATCTTACGCTTTCGATGGAGTTTTACAAATAACTTCCGTGATTTCTAGGGATGTCGAGCGACACTAACCGATGGTTTCGCGTTGCTAATAAAGAAGACATCGAATTTCCTAAAATATCCGCCAGCGAAACACACGCATTATACAAAAATGATAAAATGTATTAGTTGCAATGAATAAATGATACGTTGTGTTAATCATTTTTTTCGTATTTACGCACACAATTCGAAAACCCGTAAGCGTACCGCTCGTGAAGAATCTGCATTGTTTCTTTTTATTTCACGAATATCCAATGTAATTTCTTTATATCGAGTATCTATTGCTTGTACGCACTATATACACAGTTTTTTATATCGATTAAAGTTATAATATTAGCTTGATTAGACAATTTTAGTGCATCGAAAATTTGTAGGTTATATTGTTAAACAAATTAAATACACAAGTTATTTTCAGTTATTTATTAATATAGCTTCCACAAAATCGAAAATATCACTTTGAATATTAAAAACTTTGCACCACAACACGAATAATTACCAAACTAAAAATATTATGTGTGCATTACGATTTTCACAGAAACAATTACGATTAATTTTTTATGTAAAACTCAACAACTAAAACGTAATTTATTTAAAATTACACTTGTTTATTACATAGTTCGTAACAATTTAAGTTAAAATCGGTATCAAAATATACAGTGAACATTATAAACATTAGTAAATGATAACTAAAAAGAAGAAGAAAATGAATAGATGTTACCCCCATAGGTTGTGCATATCTCAGTCAGCGCCTGTCAATATAGCATGTTCTACATGTCGTTTAAATTGTTTAGTTTTACAACATTAAACATCGATCAACATCGTTTATTTCATGCATTATTTTCACATACAGGCCTTTGCGTGGTTTAGCGACTTATTGGTTGAACACGCTGAAATATTTTGGTCTTTGTTTGCTGTGGATATGGACAGAGTACTAGCAGAACAGCCGGCGGACACGTGGGACTCGTTTCCGCTGTTTCAGATCCTGAACGACTACCTTCGAGCTGACGGTACGTTCACAAATCACCTCACTACCTTAACCCACACCTCTCATGGTTAACGCGTTTTGTAGATAACCTGAAGAACGGTAGATTTCATCAACACCTGAGGGACACGTTCGCACCGCTAGTGGTCAGATACGTAGACCTGATGGAATCGTCCATCGCTCAATCGATTCACAAGGGTTTCGAGAAGGAACGGTGGGAGATCAAAGGGTGCGTGATTCGGCGAGTCGCCCCTCGAATTCCGCTAATGATATAATAATATGTTCATCGCAGGATGGGTTGCGCCACGTCGGAGGATCTCTTTTGGAAACTCGATGCGCTGCAGTCGTTCATCAGAGATCTGCATTGGCCGGACGCCGAATTCAGGCAGCACTTGGAGCAGCGATTGAAACTGATGGCTTGCGATATGATGGAGTCGTGCATTCAAAGGACCGAATCCGCCTTCCAGCAGTGGCTGAAGAAATCGGTTACGTTCATATCGACTGATTATATCATACCGTCGGAGATGTGCGCCATGGTAAACGTTATTTTAGATGCCAAAAATCAGTCGCTGAAGCTCTGCGCTGTCGACGGCATTGATCTAGTAAGTTCCAGCTCTATTACATCGATTTTTATCTCCATTCCTTGATTCTTTCGTTTTTAGCATCAATAATAATATTCTTAATCCAATAATATTAATAATATTCTCTTCCACACTCTCTAACTCATTCTCCAATGTCTTCTTTGGTCTTCACCTTCTTCTTCCTCCACCTCTTATTATCCTTACCATCCTTTGTGCCTTCACCACACTCACAACAGTTGGCTCTCCATACCAATTTCTGATTTCTTGGAAGTCCTATTGGAAGTCCATATATTGGTCCACTATTGATCTAATTACTGTCTTGTATATTCTTATCTTTGCCGCTCTTGCGATGGTTTTCGTTTTAATAACGTTATTTAATGCATGTGAAGCTCTATTTCCTATCATTATTCTTGTTTGTATTTCGTTATGTTGATACATGTATAGTGCATATTTCTACCTTGTTCTTCAAGTCTTTTAACTACATTCCTAAGCTCTTGCTTACTTTTTGTAATTGGGCAAATGCTAAGCACCGATGTTTGCTCTTCTAGTATAACATAGAATCTCTATTAATTTGCTTTCCTTTTAGCATCAATACCACACGAAAATCGACGATATGATAGAAAAAACCAACGCTAACATGGTTCAAGGTTTAATCAGTAAAATGATGTCGGTTTTGGAAGCCACATTGTCCAAATTATCGAGGTATGATGAAGGAAGTCTCATTGGATCCATTTTAAGCTTTACGGTAAACTACTTCTAGTTTTCGAAATTAACACCACTAACAAACTCGCTTTCGTTTAGAACGTATCCGGTTCCGGCAAGGACATGGGCCAAGGTTACGTTAATTTCACCAGAAACTGCATGGATCAAATAAGGCAAAAGATAACCGATGAATTGTGGATTCTAACATTCTTTGAACAGTGGTACACGAGCCAAATAAACATGTTATGTAATTGGTTGTCAGAACGTTTAGATCATACTTTACATCCTTACCAATGTACGTGCCTTGCTCATATCATAAAGGTAACCAACTTGCGTAGAGCAAATGACCCGTAAACTAAAATTTCCCCGTTCCAGAAAATTTACTCCGATTTTGAACTACAAGGCGTTATGGAAGATAAGCTGAATTCCAAGGCTTACCAGACAATAGCTCAAAGAATGCAAACGGAAGAAGCCACGTGCGCTCTGACCATGGGACAGGCTGAAAGGTAATTGTGCTAGCTCTAACGGCAATCGTAGGTGCTAAAAATGTACTGGTTTCCAGCGGAATGGACGGTTTAGACGAGGACGGCGATAATAGAAGTAAAACAAAAGTGACAATAATGGAAAGTTTGAGCGGCGAAGACGGGAATTTAGTCTCGAACGTGGGAAACCTGATCGGCGGAAAAGTAGGTAATATATTCGGGAAAGGCCTGGGAGGGATCGGCTCCAAATTGGGCGGAGGAACTGGCAGTTGGTTTTAAAATTTCGAAGTAGCATACGATATAGCTTTCGTTTCTTATTATATTTTGTACGAAACATTTTTGGCCTGACACGGTGGTCATTTTCTGTAAAAAATTATACGTAATTCAAGGTTTTGTAAATAATATTTTTTAATTTACGGTTATAAATAACACTAAGTGTTAGTTTTACGTGTTGAAACTGTTATTGATAATTTCTAAACACTTGAAATCGTTATGCCTTAATAAGTAAAGCCCGTAACAATGATTATTAAGGGACCAGAGTACTTATTTCAACATTTCAATAATATTTTATGCTGGTATATTGTTTTCATATAATTAATGCATTATTTTGTATATATTGGTGATGTTAAATGATGGCGAAATTTTCAAGTGTTTTCAAATTAAATTGTAAATTCATTATGTATGGGCCACGTTATTTCTGTCGATCTGAGTGAATATTTCAGATTTGTGAGAAATATTTTGGATTACCCTATACAGTTTAATTTATTTCTAAATCACGTTTATTTGGCTAGCTTGAGAAACGGGGGTTGCCCTAGAAATAAGAAACTTGTGATTTTTATATTTAAAATTAATATTTACTGCACAAAAATTAATATGTGGCAGCCCTTTTAAGTGCATATAATTAATTTTTTACCAGAACAAATCGGTAAATTTATTTGGAAATTAAAAAAATAATGAAATCTATCTATTGCACTGGATATCATTTCATTTTATCGTTTATATAATATAATTGATAAAATATTTGAACATATCGTGTATTTTTGAAACAAGTATTTTTCATAAAATCAACTAGTTTTCTATAATTTCTACGTTCTCCCATATTCATGTAAAAATACTTTTTGATTCGAGTAACTATGCAATACCTCCCCAATTTTTATGAATATAATGAATTTTTATCCACTTTCGTTCATTTTAGATTTTAAAATTCTTCGCAATTAGTAAAATCATATCCTTTTTTAATTGTATCAAAAGGAAGTGGTCATTAGAAAACTTTCATTTTTAACCACTTTCAGTACCTATCTAATACTAAAATAGATATCGTAGCTTCTTCCAAAATTTAATAAAATACAATTTAAACTGATGGACAACAAAAAAATATATAATTGAATCTAACGCAAAAGAGAGGTTTTTACTTAACTTATTTTAAAATATTGTAGATTTTCGTTATCTTAATTTCAAACTTTCTAATGAAGTGGACTAATTATTTAAAAATCTAAATTTTCTGCACGTTTTACAAATTTATTATTAAACTGGTTCTCTCTTTTGTCGTATATAGAGTGCAGTATATAGCGGGGGATGAAATTTATGACTAGGCTCTTAAAGTGCTGCGAAAAATAGTCCAGATGATTTTTTCAACATAATACAAAGCAATAAATAATGCACAATCGTAATTGGTCTATCGGTGTTTTAACACACTGATATATTTACATAAATCGAGTTGCGACCAATTTAGCTTAATCAACATTCAACTAGATTCATTAGCAAGAGGTGAAAGTTTTCAGTTCACATCAAACACTAAACAATATCGTATCTAATGCAAATGTATATTTTGTATAAAAGTGACTATAGACAAATAACACAAACACTTGGATGTAGTGTGCAAATTATTTGATCAGTACCATAAGGAATCGGTGGACGTTTACAAAACTTCTTGGCTTTTGTAAAACTTATCTTTTGAACTATTTTGTGCCTTATTTAAGCAATTTCTCTTTTACACGATACTCTCGACAATATTGTTTACCTACCCCTAACTGTATTTTTTTTTGTCTCGATTTTATTTTCTACAAAATTGTTAAGTAAAAATCGGGTGATTTTACAATGATTGATAATATTTGTTGTTATTTTAGTGTTTGAAAAATTATGTTAAGAAAAAATATAACATGCATAAGGTTTGAATTGCTAAAATTATAAATTATTTGTTGTAATAATCAGCAATTATTAGGAAAAGTAGAGTTATTGGATGAAAATATTGGGAATTACAAAGGATGTTTCCAAAGTTCTAGGAATTGCACTTAATTAAAATTACTCGAAACAAGGTTCCTAAAACGGCCGCTAGGAGGCGATGTTATAAACGATCACGGTTTTTTGCGTATGATCATAAAATTATTATACAGAATTAGCATTAAGCGTTAAAACTAAAAATAAATACAAAATATAAAAATATACTTAAATCAGCGATGATTTTTGTTGTTAACATCATGCCTCACGTATCTTCGGTTAATGCATTTCTCCATTTTCTCCTCGAAATGTCAAAAAATAATTTTTGAAGTTTTGACAGCTTGAACTGTCATCTCACAACCGCGATTTATATGTAGCGCGACGCTGATTGGCTGAGATAAGTTGATTCTCCTATCGTTCGCCACGATGCGGCGCAAAAGTGAAGCTCAAAAAGTCTTCATTTAACGGGACATATTCTCTAATGCAAAATCATAGGCTGTTTCCAGACCTTAGAAATATAGGGCTGTGCCTTTAGGCAATTGGTGAAAGACAAGTCTTGACATGTTTATGCAACTGCCCAGTGCAATATTGTTTAGTATGTTCGACTGATATTGACGCGTTTTTCATAGCACTATTTTTGGAACCATGCAAGAGGCAGCGAAGTCTCAAAGAGCTTCGTTTTGTGGAAAAAAGTTGTGAAAACATCAGAAATTATTCAGCGTCTGGAGAATTTGGCGAGTCTACAAAATCCAAAAGTATTGTTTATCAACGGATCAATTATTGAGATTTTGTTGCGTTTTCCATGGTTCTAAAAACAGTGCTCTGAAAACTTGTACTGGATTTGACTGGATAGTTGCATAAACATTGCTTATAAGCTTATAAGTTTAAATAGAGCAATTCCCAGAACTTTGGAAACATCCCTCGTATACCATTTGTGTGACAAATACCACCGATTTTTCAAAAATAGACTCAACTCAACCATTTTATAATTACCCGTTACCCGATATTACAATTTTTACCTAACAAAAAAATAAAGCAATTTCGGTTAAATTTGTCGTGGTAGACAATTTTCGGTGTATCTAAGTAAAAAATATACCAATAAAATTTTCAAACGGTCGAATTTGATAACACGTTTATGTATTATTCATCAATAAAAAGAACGAAATATATCATTGCCAACAAGTGTATAGTTTGTCATTATAATAATTATCTGTCTATTTAGATGTAAATTATTCGAATGATTCCAAAATGTAAACAATAATAAATGTGTATCGATATTGAGTTGACTTGCACGTCGTCGATTTTTGTGCCTTAAGTCATGTAAGAATTCATTTTTTTTTTGGTTTGTTTAACGAATAACTTTGCCGTTATTTTCGTAAATCGTCTTCAAACCTGTAAAAGTTGCGAATAAAGCGAGCAATAGTCCGTTTACTTGCCTTACATTCGCACTGTCTGACTCTGGTTGACTCAATTGATAAATTCAACTTACCTTTCATCCTAATTTGTCGCCTCCGAAAATAATCGCTGAAAATAATATCCACAATTAATAGGTAACAAATGAACACTTCATTGTCCGTTGGTCATAAAATAAAGCACTAGAACATTTATCCAGTGCAAGTTCGTTTAATAAAATTGTGTTCCTTTTGAAACTTATCGCTTGTTGCATATCTTTATTACGATAAGAAGGAAACATTGTTTTATTTTCGTTTAAATATTCTATTGCTTAGAGCTGTATCGTATTATAAAAACAGAGTGTGCAAAGTAAACATATTAAACTGGGTCAGAGAACGTTACGAAATTTTTTCTCTGCAAGTTAACCCTCGCAGGATTTCAAATTTAACTGTTAAAATTTTAGGAAAAGAATCTATTCGATTTGTGCGAAAATTGCAATATTTTATAAATAAATTTAATTAGATAGGTAGGCGACAACTTTGAGGGTTTACTGAATGTTTGATATGCTTACTGTGGGGTGCTCTGGGGATGAAATTTGGACAAAACTATGAATGCTTGATTGCTGGGCATTGCATTTTAGGACGACTGCGTACACTGAATTTTACTCGATTTGTTAAGGTTTAGGCGATCGAGTAAACATGAAGTATGTGCAGTCGGTTTTAATTAAATAATAATGAGTTAAAATAAAATATTAATAAAAATCTTCACATTCAAATTTAATACCTACCTAATAAAGTTCAGTATTGAAAAAGTATCTTTAATGATTACTGCATGCAACCTTAAATTATAGTTATATTTCACAAGAAACATTGACGAGTATATTTGTAGTGTTCAATTTGTAGAATATTTTTGAGGAAATTTCAAACTGGTAGAAAATGAAAAATTCAACGTTACCTTGCATTCTAATAACATCAAATTGCGAACTAATTTCATAATTTTTACAAATTGAACAACTAAATAACGTTGAATAAGTAGCTAGAAAAAGGTAGTAGGCAATGAAGTTAAAAACTCTTCAATGTCTCGTTGTTTTCTTAAAGAATCTTACTTCAACTTTTGAAAATTGTTATATAAATAATATATGTATAGAATGCTTTTACTTAAGTTCTTGTATTTATCAAACCTACTTATAAATTCTTGAATAGAAATTGCAAATAAATTTATAAACCTTAAACTTATTCTTTCTTAATATTGAATTAATATATTGCAATATAGTTGATAACAAATAACCTGTTTTTGTTAAGATCTTTTAGAAACTAGTTGAATTTTACGTATGGGCCTGTGATGTCAACAAAAGCGATGCTACTTATATAAAAAATAATTTCCTAAAATCTATACAAATGTTAAACATTTACGGGCCATATAAGTACATAATATTGTTATGTTCAACTAACATGTAATACGAAAAATAAATTGTTTTAATATCTTTATCAATATATTTCTCCCTTCATACGTACTCATGCACCTTCGTCAATTTTTTTTTCTTGGAATGCTTTAAAAATAAGGTGTGTTTAAAGCAGACCACATTGTACATAAAATTTATATAAAAATATAAGAATATCTTACCTTTTAGAAAACACACTGTTTAATTTTTGTTTAATGTTCCAAACTGTTTCAATAGGCACAAAGCAACTATCAAAAACTTGCATGTTATGATGTGTCATCGTTGTAGAGGTGGTACAGTTATCAATAATAATCTATCAATAAATTCTTTAAACATGACATTGCTAATTAATTGCAGAGGAATGCATCAAAAAAGAATTTTCGAACTCAAACTGAATAACTAAGTCATTTTTATTTGGAATATTTAAAGCAACCCTATATGGATTACAGAAAACGCATAATTTTTCATTCAGAAAAAAGTCAATTAATCTTGTAAATAACAATACAATTAATATGGGTAAACATCGAATTTAGCAAAAAATAAATTGGTAAGTACAAACATTCATACAGCGTCTGCAGCGTCGACAATCAGTACCGAATGCGCATTCATTCGCAGTAATTCCTTTCGAACTTTCCTATACATGAACATACAATGATTTTCATAACAAAATACTTTACGAGCAAAACTTAAAACAAATTTCTAATAAATTCAATTTGCCTTCGAAAAAACGATTCGTCAGTTTGCGTGCTCTTATCAACGAGAACCTTCTTCGTTGTAACCGAATTTTTCGGCTTCCTCGCCCTTTCTAGGTACTTAGCTAAAGGCGTCATCGGCCTAATGGTCTTCCTGCACTTAATGTCCGACGATTTGAACCTCTTTACTATCTGCAGATCCACCTGATCGGTATCAACGGTCCGTTTGACTGCCCTGGAAAAGGTGTAGTTCCTCGACCTGGACAAGCGAATGTTCGCAACAGGCGATTGCGATTCGGAATTGAACAGGAACTGGTCGATGTTTTGGATGGGAATCCCCAAGGTGTTCGGCGTAGATGACAAAGGGCCTTCCAATTTTATTCTAATCGATTCTTTTTGCTTTATTCTCAGCGAGACTATGGGGGTTCTTGAGGGTTTGTTGTCGGCGTCTGGTAGTTTATCTACAGCTGTTAACCAAGCGTCGTTTTCTTTTTCGTTGATTTCTGTGGTGCTGGTGTTAGCTTCGTTTGTAGATTCTTCGTCGTCAGTGTTGGTGTCTAAGTTAGCGTGTTTGACTGGTGTGGAAAAAACGCTTACTTCTAAAAACCGAAAGGGTATTGAGTGGAATGAATCACATTTTCTGTTTATAGCTTACCTCCTACTAAAGCTGTTGATGCATTGCCCGATTCCTCGAGGCTAGGCATAGAAAACTTAACTTTTTTCTGGGATGCGCATTCTTTCTGCTCGTTGTTGGCTTTGCTTTGCAATGGAGTGCTCGTGGCCAATTCGTTGAACATTTTGCCGGTCTTTTCCGACAAGTACAGCGGCGAAATTTCGTCTAAGTTGAGCTTCACCGATTCGGCGGAGTTGTAAGGAGTTACCAGTGTATTGGAAGTTTTTGCCAACGGGCATTTAACGTGTAGTGCTATTTCATCTGTGGAACCGAACAGTCTTTTGCATAATACACAATGCAACGGCCAATGGCGCTGTTTTATGTGAGAGAACACGTCCGTATTAATCGACGATATGTTCGTGATTCCTTGAAGACAAATATCACAACCGGGGAAAATGTTATGGTCTTTAGTTCCGTGCTTGTCCCGGCAAATTATACAACAAAACACTTCCCTGCATATGTGACATTGGTTCTAAAAATTATTCACAAAAATCGTTCTGATTAAATTAAAGCTGCGGTTTTACCATTCAATTTAAATACTCACTTCAATGTATTTCATTTTGCACTAGTTTTAATAAACAGCAACTGATTTAGTTCGCCTATATTAACTTTTTTGTTTCGTCAAAAAAAATACGATATTGCCAGATTAAAACTGAGTAAACGTGTTCTTTGGAAAAAATTCTAACAGTACGTTTTGTCGAGCGAAACGAAAACCGAATTAAATTTACAATGGAGAAATCGAAAAATCGCTTGTTTCGATCGATATAATGCCAGAGTTAATAAGATGTGGTTTCAATGAAGATATTAATGCGTGTTTGCAAAGAGTTCTAAATAATTCGTATTTATTTTTAATCAATAAAAACAACAATGCAGCGGACCAGTTTAATAGCCTTGTTAACAAATTTGTTGGAGGGAAAAGGGTAAGTTAAATTTTTTTACTACATTACCAATTTAACAAATAACTTCTTATTTCCATTCTTTGTCTTTTTAAATTTACTGTTAACTATTTAACTATTTAATTACTTTAAAACCACTTTAAGGTACTTTTGTCTAAAACATTTTTTTATAATGCATACTTTATAAATTATTAATTTTTTATCACTCAAGTTAGTTAGAGGACATTTTTTATTTTTAGTTTGAGCATTTGGTGTTCTGGCCAATAAATGGAGAGTTTTTCATTCTTGTAGAGCCAGATTTCATTGATGACATTATAAAAGCATCTTGTATTCTGGATAATTTTGTTCGCAAAAGAGATGGTATTAATTATGAAGATTCTGAAACTTATCCTTTCACAGAACTAGATAATTGTGGACCAAGTGTACGGGATCAAGGATACAATATACAAATGTTTAATTAGGAAATACCAGTAATATTAAAATGTACATATACCTAAATAAAACTTAATAAATAAGTTAACTAACCATTTTCTTGCTTATCTTGATCTGTTGTTTCTTCCCACTCGTCAAACATATTACACCCAATAGTAAACCAACTTTTTTCTTTTACGTTTCGGTTACTATATTCTTTGCAACCTTCTTCCCATATTACAATACAAAAGAATATTTTTTTTTTAATAAGTTTTGGGTTTTTACATTTCTGTTTCCCTTAATAACGAGCTCGAAATTATGATTTGCTAACGATTTTTTTAAATGGGAAGTATAGGCTTGTGACATATCGCTTGAAAGGTCTCTTCATGTTCTATCGAAAATTGTTATTGTTTATACATAAAATAATATAAATTTCTAATTAGTAAACTAGTTTACTAATTAAATTATTTTACGGTCTTTATACATGGTGAATTCAAATACGAAAGACAACAAGGCTGATTTCGCCGAAAAATCTAAATTCTCTTAAAAACAACGGAGTATAAAATAATTTATAATAAAACTATTTCCCACCGATTTTAAGTAAATTGAAATGAAAATATTTCACTATAATTTTATTTTAATTTTCATTATTTCATAAATCCTTCTGTGGTATTTTTATTTTCTAAAAGAGATAAGTTTAATTATTAGGGCATGATAAAAGTTATCGTTTAATTCTTCGTTAACTTCGTTTTAAGATAATAGGTACTTATTTGAATTATATTTATTTTAGCGATTCCAAACACGGCTTTTAAAAACAATTTTATTTATTTTATTTACTATTACATAAAATGATGCAGTTATACCTCAACTTATTTACAAATTTACAAAATAATAATGTCACGCCTAGTGCGTTTTCCGTTGCTTCTTCGGGGTTTCGTCGCTTGGGACCTGGGTACTGGTAGGTTAGATGAGTACCTCGGATAGACACATAGGATACATACAAAGGTACACTATTATACTGGGCGTCTGACGAGAAGGGAGCAAATGGTCTAACACCCCGCGAGCATATCAACCCACCTTCTCCAATGCTTAGAGTCAACTCAAGAAGAACCCCGTTGGGTCGCACCTGAGAGTATTTATCTTAATTATTTTGCTGACCAACTGTCGAAGAACACCTTTTCACACGACCCCGTAAAGTGACTGATGTTGCAGTGGTCGTATTCCCCGATGTCCAGGTCCAATTCGCCCAAGGCACAGCTGTAGCACAGGTGCACAGGAGCTCCTCGTGTGTCCCTTTCCCGTCTAAGCCGGTCCTGTTGTCTTCTATCCCGATGTCATACTCTTCCTCTTCCAGTTTTGTCTCTCCGTTTCTAGCCAACCGGGTGCGATTATGAGGAATAACCCTGCAGGAATGAAGCTAAGCGCCTTCACCATGTCACACCAAGGGCGTTTTCCCTCTCTTCTTTGGAGTTACCTTGCTTGTGGCCTGAGTACTGGTTGCTTAGAAAGACTCGGGTAGACAAAAATTATTCATGCATTGTTTATTTTTGACACAGCATCAACCTTCAATATATACATCGGTATCGGTAGAGAAGGGGGCAAATGGTCTCACACCCCGCGAGCATGTCAGTCCAACTTGTTCGGTGATCAGCGTTTAATTTGCTTTGGTATCGTTTTGTTATACTCTCAGGGTTGACCCATATTCTTACTCGTGACAATATTCCAGAACACGTACCTCGACGTTGGAATCCTTGGAATCCTTTTTTTAAGTGTAAAATCAATCTTGGCGACAAGAATTTCACAATTTCGATTTTTTTCCCATTTCCATTAATAGGTTCTGGTTGGTCCTCGCCAAGCTCAGGAACTGTCGCTTCAATTACAATATCATACCATGCTTCGGTGCTTGAATCGGATGATATCGAAAGTTGTCTACTCGATGTCGTAGTGGCCTCATCGTGTGAATCATGGTCCATGATTTGGTCTAAAAAAATATTAAAAAGCTAATTATCAAGTACCTTATTAATAAGTAAAGTTAGCATAGAAGAAGGTTAGTGTAGAATTTTTATGCCTTGTAGTATTTCTTAATTAATTCGTAGTAATGCTTAATGATATAATTAAGGTTTGTTGTAATTATTTAGTATAAAAGATGCATCATAAGTGTTCACAGCTGATTTTAATTGTAAGACGTTGTTTGATGTATATTTCTATAAAGCATGTTTAGAAGAATTTCGTCCGGGGTGAGAAGATACCACTAAAAGTGGAAATTCGTGACATGGTGAAGGCGCTTGGCATTCGTGACAATTACTAATTTACCCCCTGCTTAAAATTTAAATTATCCCCTGCACGTTTTTTATTTCTTTGTACCGTTTAATAAACTAATCATTTCATTTTTCAAAATTTAATTTTTTAAATTTTTTTACTTGCACTAAAATCACATTGAAAAATTGCTGTCGAAGTGAAATTTCAGATCTATAACCGACGTCCGGTAGATTGTGCTCGTCGACATAATCGAAAGGTCGACGAAACCGAGCTCGTGTCGAGGCACATGGGTATAAGTCAGCAATTGTGATTAAAAATTTTTTTAACTTAATTAACGTCCCCGAAAAGATTGAAACCCCTGAGAATTTAGCAGAGAGAAACATACCTTCTCTTCCAGGTCAACTCCTAACACATTTTTTGATTGGATTTATTTTTTATTTTTGGTACACCTATTTTTTCGTAATAACGATCTACAGGTTTATCGACATCGACAGATATGTTGTTTTTTTAGTTTTTTGTGAATAGAAACAGGCAGTACCTACAAAACACATGTTTTTTTACAATTTTTATATATTTTTTTCATACTATTTTCTAAATCTTACTTATACAGGGTGGATTATAAGTTGATACTTTTTTTAACTGCGTATAGATCCTTTAATTCTAAGTAACTTTTTCAAGTAAAATTTTTTAATATTCTGCATGTCCACCAATTCATTATTTGTATAAAGATGAGCCATTTTCAATTCAACAATCGAAAAATTAATTTTTTGTCATTAATTATTTATAATTTTTTTGACATCTGTATGGTAATGGTAGGTACGTATTGGAAAATATTCGAAATTTAAAGAAATTTTAAAAATTTCCATCTTTTTTATTTTTCAGAATATTAAAAAAAATTACTTGAAAAAGTTGCTTAGAATTAAAAGATCTATACGCAGTTAAAAAAGTATCAAATAAGACACCCTGTATTATTTTCTTTTAACAACCCTAAAATTACAAAATTACACCTTACCTAAAATTCACTAATTGTAAGATTACAAACTTTATAGATTCGTCGGCAAACACAACCGCGACCGATCTATCACAAAAATATGACTTTGCAGAATATATTATAATGTTTACAAGTTGGGCGACAGCGAAAACCGCGGGTACTATTCCATATCCAAGGGAATAAGGAATATCCCGGGCGCGAGTCGGTCAGGCTTTTTATAACAACTAATCTCCCTCGATTGTCGACCGATCACACGATGGTAATTAACACCTTGCGATATTTTACCTTATCATTGCACTATTTGCAATGATTCTCACAGGTGCAATAACCGCGTTTCCCTGGCTTTTTTCCAACTAATACCTAACTAAATTTACAAAAATTAAGAAAAAAAAACATAATGGTAAGTAAAAAAACGATAGCAAAATTAAAAGAAAAATAATGAGGCGAAATAAAATACAAATGAAATTGACAATAAACAATTAGCATTATCGGAACTTATCGGTCCTTTGCATACAGGGTAGAAACGCCAAATGGAATAAATTTATTATTTCGGTTACTGTACATATTTATAGGAAATTTGACGTGTTTGAGGATTTTCTATAAATATGTACAGTACCCGACATAATGAATTTATTCCATTTGGCGTTTCCACCCTGTATAACAATCAAAACAATTCGCGACTTGTCCTTCGCGAAATCGGACACCACTCAGCTCATTTTTCGTAGTACGAATCACACCCACACAACACGAACACTTGCAGTTTGTAACCACTTTGTCGTTCCCTGGCAGCTGATAGCGATTTTCTCTATCGCCAGACTGCTGATGCTGCGGAATGCCAATTTCGAAAATGATGAGAACTTATCTCGAGCCCTTGGGATTCGACTCAGGTTTTGTAGCTGTGCAGACGACCACGTCTTTGCTTTGATTGGTCGTCTGCACTGCGTGATACCAAGTAGGTAGTATCAGCAATCCCAAGGGTGGTGGTTTGCCAGTGGTTTTGTGGGTGCGATCGGCTGTTTTTTCCGTCCAGTGCTACTTGTGGTATCCTTGTTGGTATCCTTGTTGGTATCCTTGTTGGATGACAAGCATTGGTAGATTAGCCCCCAGCAACATTCCACGGGAAGGTGAGTCGTCCTAGCTTTCGTCGTTTAAAACATTTACATTATTCCCCGTTTTGCCCAATATACAGTAAGGACCAAAAGTCCGTCGCCCCCCCTTTAACTTTTGAATGGTAAGAGCTTTTGTCGCGCAATTTGGGGTGTTTATATTGAAATAAAAATACTATTTATTGACGTAAAAATGACAGTTGAATCTTTCAAAATGACACTTAGGCGCCATTTTGAATCTTTTTTTCTTATGGAAGGGGGGGTCAAGTGACACGTCGTTTTAAAGGTAATTTCATTCTTAACCGTTTTAGTGCTAAGCAATTTTTGTGAATATGTATGAAAATTGCTATACATATTACGTATATGTACATATACGTATAGTCTACATATGGTCGGCTGTTATGTAGACTGGACCCGGAGATCTGCCCGATCCTGACTTCTCCGAACGCTCCTGCAGTCACCTCCACCCTATTGCTCCCCCCGAGTTGGAGGAGTCAGGCTAGTATCTGCAGTTCGACCCTATATTAGGCGATGAGAAAAATAAATCAGGAAAGTTTAAATAGTTTAAGTAGTAAGCAGTTTATTTTCTGTATATTAAACCGGGTCAAAGGACCGGGATCAAAGGGCGTGACATTAGTTGTAGGTTCTAGTGTAATTTTAGGTAAGGGTAGCATGTAAGTTTGTAATATTAGTAATTTTTGTAATTTTAGGGTTGTTATAAGAGAATAATATAAGTAAGATTTAGGATATAGTAAGAAAAAAAATGTAAAAATAAAAAAAAATAAAAAAATTGAAAAAAAAAATTCGTACCAATCTATTTCTTAACCGTTATTCCTCCTCAGAGTAAAAAAATAAAACACAACGTATGTGTCGATGTCGATAAACCTCGATCACAAAACAAAAAAAAATAGCCGTACCATGCAGAAATAAAAAAAATCCAATTGCAACACCCTGTAGCTCGAAAACAAAGAGGTTTAGGACATGTATTTGTATAAACTTTTCTTCTTAAAATCATTCAAATATTCACATCCTGATAAGTATCGGCACTCAATAAATTAACACCCTGTAGGTAAATAGGGTCCAATCGACATCATTTTAACCCCTGAATATGTGGTATACTTTATTACCTCTCTTTTTGTTACACCCTGTATGTAGATTACGAAAATAATAAAGTAATAAAAAAATAGAAATTGTCACTATATTTATATTTTTATAGCGAAAAAATTGTTAATTTTATATTAAGTAATCGCTCTTTACTCTCGTAAACGTAAAAGTGAGAAACAAACGTCTAGAATGCTGTGAAAGACTGGATTCAGAATGTAGTTTACCAACATAAGAATGAGAATATCACTAGATTGCAAAAGTTGCAAAAAATAATTTTCAGTCAAATTTGATCATATACTAAAATCAAAATACCATTGCGCAATTAAATGTGCATTATTAAAATAGGGCATTACGCAGTAAATTTGTATAAAATCGATTTTCAACGGTATACGTTGTAGCGTTTCCCAGGGATAGCTTATTGATAAATTTAGATGTGACAACGCCGATGCGCGAATCGCGAATCAATGCGAATTCAGTGAACATGAACTTGATTATTCTCGACTAGGGCATGTTTGTTTTCCCAAACAGCCGGTCGGGTTTTTGCTCCGCTTTCAACAACATTACCGAGCCACCAAAACAATACTAATTTCTCGCTAGCGACCTAATCGAAAGTAAACGGAAAAAAGCATGAGCGGAGCCGTATACGGCGGAGGTTTGTGTTTAATATTTTAATTGAATTCCACCTCGATTACGAATTAAACTTCCAGATGAAGTCGGCGCATTGGTCTTCGACATCGGCCACAACACGGTCAGGGCTGGTTACGCGGGCGAAGACAGCCCAAAGGTTGACATCACTTCCACCATAGGCGTTTGGCTCGATTCCGAGGATGACATCCCCATAACGAGATACAACATCGGCCTGCTGGCCATACACGTATGGAGACCCGGTACGCATAACTCTAATAAATACAACAACACGAAATGCAATGTATTCGTCGCAGAGATGGAACTGGCCTCGTTCCTGAAGGACGGCATGGTCGAGAACTGGGACATGTTCGAGAACTTCATGGACTACGTGTACAACAACGCCCTGCGGGCCATCCCGAAGGACCACCCGATCCTCATAACGGAGCCGCCGTGGATAACGTCCTCGAAGCGCGAAGAGATGACCGAGCTGATGTTCGAGAAGTACGGCGTGCCGGCCGTCTACCTCGCCAAGAACGCCAGCCTGGCGGCCTTCGCCAACGGCAGGCCCACCTGCCTCGTCGTCGACAGCGGGGCCACCCACACTTCGGCCGTACCGGTCCACGAAGGGTAACAGCCATTCCGATACCGATTAAATCGTTCCGCGAGCTACACGATTTATTTTTAGATACGTATTGACCCAAGCTGTCGTGAAGTCGCCCGTGGGGGGCGATTATCTCAGCTCCCAATGCCACACTCACTTGACCGAGAGAGGCATCGAGATCGTTCCGCCCAGCATGGTCGCCTGGAAGGAAGTCACCAAGCCCGAAGAACCGCCGATTTGGAAGAAGCGACTCGTGCCGGCCAATTTGACGGAGTCTTGGTACAATTTTATGATTAAGGTATTATCTCAACCTTTTATCACATATACTGCAACCCGTTTGTGCTCGTAGGAGGTAATGCAAGATTTCCAAGCGTCCGTTCTGCAAGTTTCCGATGTATCGTACGATGAGGAGATAGTGAAGACTATGCCGGCCAATCATTACGAGTTTCCTAATGGTTACCATCGGGATTTCGGTGTGGAGCGATTCAAGATACCGGAGCCGCTGTTCAACCCCACAACGGGCGCTAAAGCTGGTATTCAGCCCATTTTGGGTGTCGGGTCTCTGGTCACTACAAGTGTCGGTATGTGCGACATTGATATTAGACCGGTAAGTTGTTTATTATAATAAATTTATGTACTATTTACATTATTATTCAAAGGCCATGTACGGGAGTGTCGTTGTAACCGGAGGAAATTCCAGTCTTCAAGGTTTCACCGAACGACTGAATCGTGATTTGGCTGCGAAGACTCCACCGGTAATTAAATGAACAGCTGTTTTTCTTGATTAATATTTGGTGGTTTTAGAGCATGCGTTTGAAAATAATAAGCGCTCCGGGAGTGTCCGAACGTCGGTTTGGGGCTTGGACTGGTGGTTCGATATTGAGTTCCTTGGGGTCATTCCAACAGCTTTGGGTGTCGAAGCAAGAGTACGAAGAGACTGGTAAAGTAATTGTACAATCTAAATGTCTATAAGCAACCTATTTTCGTGTTACATACAAATATTATAGAACATCCCCAGTATTTCCAGAGATATATGTGTACTACTTAAACTGATGGTGCTTCCTAATTTTCAACTTGTGTGCAATTTCAGACGTTACCACGTCACTTTGTTTTAGTTTATCTTACAGAATATTTTCTATATGAGATTTGTTTATTTAAAGATCAGTGCCATCTACAGTTAGTTTTAGTTTTCTAGCTAGTTTATTTTGACTGAATTCAACTTCTTGATTATTTTGCGGTCATTAAAATATTTTGGCCGCAGTTCTCTCAAATTGATATTTTTACTATCTAAGAATAAGTATTTGATGTACTAAAAAATCTATATTAACACAGTATTATTGTCAATTTAGGCTGTTAATATTTTTTTATTTATTTATTTATATATTTTTTTATATTTTTACACGTTTTACATCGTTTTACAAGATTATTGAAAATGATCTCGATTCGACGTCAATTCTTTTCAAAAAAAGAATGAATTTATACCTTTTATGATGATGTTCCTATGAAAGTTTATTTTATTTACAATTAAATTAAAAGTCTGATTTTTGTTAGTTTAATTTATTAGAAAATAATTAAATGTAGAATTGAAACGCTAATTAGCATATCTTTAAAAAAATTCGCGTTTCGCCTCTACGTTACGATCTTCAATATGTTGTGCCAATAAACTATATTAATGTGTATTAATTTTTTTATTAAAACAGAATTTCCTGTTCCTTTTCCCGAGAAACAAATATCGAAAATCCCTTACAGCTGGTGAAATCAGAAATTACCTAATAAAGGAAGGACATTCCAAATAATTGAAGAAGGAAAGAATTGTTCCTGAATGAGAATTTCATGAACTCTACAGAAGAGTAAAAGGATATCACAAATGAAAGTAAAAATTATTTATCATTTCACTTTTATTATAAAAGAAAATAACAATATTCAAATCAAACTTCTCATCTATATCGCGAAAAATACAGTTCATTTAAAAGTTGTATAGAAAAATATCTTCCTGCTCTTGTACTTACATTTAACTCAGGCTCTAAGGCAAAACTTTTCCAACTACCGCGACAAATCGATCAATAAATACTAAAACTTTCAGAAAGTATTCAAATAATATATTTTCGTCTTCTAAATTGTAAAGAAATAACAAGTTTTAAATAAATTCGATAGGTATATTTTATAGGCAGTATATTTTTTTCAAACGAAAAGTAACATAAACGGGACAAATAAAATTAATACATGAGCTGGACGGACATCGAATATAAAATACATCAGATACATTTAAAATACATTGACATATTCTTAATTGTGAGTCGCATATTTAGAGAGGGATTGATTAATGTTTACGGTTAAAAATTCTATTAGTTCCTTTACCGAAACACAATGACTAATTTAAGATCAAACTTTTGGTATTTACAAAAGCTATAAGTACGATATTAAAAGAACATCAAACGCTAATAAAGCAAACATGTTGAGCAGGGCATTTGTAAAATCGATGGGGAAGGATACACTACACTTATTATTAACAATGGAGAAGTATTATCTACTTTTTTCGTATTTGAGAAACTTAAAATTATTCTTTTATGGACATTGAAATGTTGCATACAATCATATCCTGGGCAAAACTTATCTATGTCAAAAGCCTTAGATCATCCAGATACAATTACACAAACTGTATTATTTGGAGATAACTGTAAAACAATTTTTTGAAAAAACAAAAAAAATTCACAACTACACAAAAACAAACTCAACAAAATTAAGTAGAAAACCACGAAGGTAACTAAATTCGACGAAAAATGAAAATAACACGAGCCGATAAGTAAAAACTCAGACTTCACTCAGTCTTCTCTTCTTTGTTAGGCAAACAGGCTTCCGAATCCGTAGGGGGTACTGAAACAATTGGACTACTCTCTTGGACTATTGAACTACTCTCTTGGACTGTAAAAGAAAAAAACGTCAACACATATTTTAAATAAAAAAACATAAACTGTACCTAGATCGTTAGAATGTGAGGTGGAATTCGAAATCGTTTCAGAGCACTCCGAATCTACTTCATGTGCTGTGGTAGAAGCTATACTTGGTACACATTCTACCTCTAATTTCTCAACAATGTTCAACTCTGGTTCGCTCAGAGCAACACTCACCTGCACCTAAAAATAGTAATGAATAAAATAATCGATACTTTTAGTACAAGTTTGTAGCTTACTTCATCTTTCGAAAGCTCAGATTTACTAGAATCGCCGGAACATTCTCCACCGGGAGCGTCCGATTGATTGTTTAAATTCGACACAGGAGCACCCTCAACGCATTCCTTCGAACCGGCATCCTCTTCCACCGGCGTGTCCGTAGTGATATTATGCGCTTTGAGCTGTTGCAAATAATAAGCTCGCTCCGTTTGCAGTGTCCTGCACAATTTCTCCAAGGCTTCGACTTTTTTCTGCGTAATCTTCAGGTCGTTGGACGTGGTTTGGTTCATTTCAGTCAATTGGAGGCACTTTTGGGTGCTCCCTTTCCAGCGACCGTGCCATTCGTTCCTGTCCCTCTCCAATATGGCGTTAGCCTTTTGCATCTTCGTCATTTCATCTTTAACAGAATCGAATACCTAAAAGAAATGGTGTTTTTAGAGCTAGAAGGCGATTTTGCAATGGAGCGTGGTATATAGAAGGTATCTACAACATTACCTTATTACTTCTTTTCATCGTTGTTTCGAATACAGTGTACTGTTTTTGATAAGATTCTAATTGTTGTTGCATGCTCTTCACTTTTTCTTGTAATACTTTATTAGTCTCATCGCTTTTCTGGAAATTGGCCACCAACAAGGTCCTTTCCTTTTTCCAGATTTCGCGCTGAGCTTCGAATTCGAACTCGACTTTCTTCAGTAAATTTTCGGAGAGCTTCTTCTGGAGTTCCATCTGCTTGTTCATGTTGCCCATCTGGGCTTCCCGCTCCTGGAATTGGTTGTAGAGTTCCGTCAACTTGGTGGTCATGTTGATGTTCTCGTCCCTGAGACGTATGGATTTGTCGTTATTTTCATCCATGAGCTGCGTGAGGGTGTTGAGCTTTTCGCTGAAGTTCGAAGCTACCTCCCTGCGCTTTTCCTCCTCTTCTTTCAATTTGTTGTAATTTTCTTCCTGGAATCGATTCAATATGAATAAATTTTAACGAAACGCAAGTTAATTCGTACCTTAATTTCTTTATTTTGCTTTTGGAGCTCTCTCGCTAGATTTTCTAGTTTGCACCTCGACAAGATATTCTTGCTCAATTCGGCTTGTATGTGTTCCTTTTCGCGTTGGATATTCTTGATGGTCTTTTCGCAGGTTTTAAGCGATGTAACTGTTGTGCGGTATTCATTGTACAAATCGGAATATTTTTCTTTGATGATATCGAACTTTTCTGAATCCGGTAAATTACTTAATGATTTTATGAGGTTATCCCAAGATCTCTGGTCTCGTTTAGAGCGCTTTTCTTCTCGTTTCTTTTTAATAGCGCCAGTGGTTGGTGGAACTCTGTTTTCATCATTGTGATCATTGGAACTGCCAGACGACGCATTTTCGGTAGGAACGGGTACTTTTCCTTTCGGGTTTGATTCCATGGCTACAGAATACAAATGAATAATTAATTTATAGTGTAAATTGACAAGAAAGTTAAAAGCTATTATCTAAAAATCCGCAAAAACTGATTTAACAACTTTTTTCTTAATAAACAACTAGGTTACTTTGGTTACCGATTAAATAGTTGACGTAGAACCAGTTTCTTTACACATTTCTGTGTTAATTCTATGTCAAAGGGTTTTCCTATTATCTTAATAATGTAAAAATTTTTATACTTTTCTGCTGCAACAACTTTTTGTTTGTAAATCTTATCTCGAGAAATATAACATAACCTATTTACTGTAGAAATGTCAAAATCAGTTCTTCTTTTTTTATTGCTAATTTTGACTTTTACTCGTCAAATTAGGATTTGTTCTTTCATTACACCAAGAGTACTCTATTCGCACTACTAATTTCTTAAATTATGAATTTTGATTATGAATAATTTGAATAACTTGCCGATAAATTTACACTTATAAAAAACGTTAAACAATAAATTATTGATGCAGCATGTGAATTATAATTTATAACTATTTAAAATTAAAAATACGATGAATTTAGGTTAAATAATCACGTGTTATAAAAATATTCAGAGAAAAAATTAATGTAAATCGATTATTAGAAAGCAAAGTCCCACTCTATTCAGAACGTACCTTCACTCGAACTTATTTTTCAGTATTTATAAATGTATCCCCTATTTATCGGAACACGGAATTTATTATTTTAAAGACGTCTCTACTTCAACATGTATCTCTATCATTGAGGGGAGGGTTATTTTTAGAAATTCTTAGCTTTCAGAAAACTTTTAATAGAAGATTCCAAATTTCCCGCTTCGGATACCTTAAAAAAATTTAATTCATAAAAAAGGTTTAGTTTGAATAAATAAATTAATGTAGAAATGTTGTAATTTAGTTTAAAAAGAGGTTTTCAAGAATACGTTGTCGCGTATTTTGAATTAGTTTTTGAATAAAATTTTCTTCATTTTTAATTAAAGTGGCCTTTGTTATTAGTGTTATTTGGTCCAGAATCTTTTTGTTTTTTTCGTCTCGTGTCAATTCAGTGCAACCAACATTTTAAATATCTGTCAGAAGTGTCATACTTGTCATATAGAGTGGGAGGTTCCTAGTAATTATTAGTAATAGAAGATTAAAAAAAAATATATGTTCATACAGATACGGGATATGTTTCTGTTATCATAAGTATATTAGATTCGCAGTGAAAGTCACTAAAAAAAATTAAAGTTTCAACAGTGCGTGGTGTAACACAAAAAAACCAAAATGTTCAGTTGGCTATCAAAGGATAATGGCAAGGAAGAAATTTACCAAAGTGTTGTCGAAGGACTCAAGACAATTTATAAACACAAGCTACTGCCCCTTGAAGAGCATTATCAATTCCACGACTTTCACTCTCCGAAATTGGAGGACTCCGATTTCGATGCCAAGCCCATGATATTGCTGGTAGGACAATATTCGACAGGGAAAACCACATTCATCAAATATTTGCTCGAAAGGGATTTTCCGGGAATTCGAATCGGTCCGGAACCAACCACCGATCGATTCATAGCTGTTATGTGTGACGATAAAGAAGGTATGATACCGGGCAACGCTCTTGTGGTCGATCCTAAGAGGCAATTCAGGCCTCTGTCCAAGTTTGGCAATGCTTTCTTAAACCGTCTTCAATGTTCGTTGGTGAACTCGCCAGTTTTACAAAACATTTCGATTATAGACACGCCTGGAATATTGTCGGGCGAGAAACAGAGAGTCGATAGGGGCTACGATTTCACCGGCGTGCTAGAATGGTTCGCTGAAAGAGTCGATAGAATCATACTGCTCTTTGACGCCCATAAACTTGATATTTCCGATGAATTTAGGCGGTCCATCGAGGCTTTAAGGGGCCACGATGATAAAATACGCATTGTTTTAAACAAAGCCGATATGGTCGATCACCAACAACTTATGAGAGTATATGGTGCTTTAATGTGGTCGTTAGGGAAAGTTTTGCAAACACCAGAAGTAGCCAGAGTCTACATTGGCTCGTTTTGGGATCAACCGTTGCGATACGATGTAAATAGAAGACTATTCGAAGACGAAGAACAAGATCTATTCAAAGATTTACAGTCCCTACCGAGAAATGCTGCCCTTAGAAAACTAAACGATTTAATAAAGAGAGCCAGGTTGGCTAAAGTGCACGCCTACATAATAGCCGAGCTAAGGAAAGAGATGCCTTCCATTTTCGGCAAAGACACGAGGAAGAAAGAGCTTATTAAAAATTTAGGCCAGATTTACGACAGATTGCAAAGGGAACACCAAATATCGCCCGGAGACTTTCCCGAAATCAAAAAGATGCAGGACGTCCTCGCCAATTTGGACTTCAGCAAATTCAATCCGCTCAAGCCGAAGCTTCTGGACATCGTCGACAGGATGCTGGCCGATGACATATCCACTTTGATGGCGAAAATTCCGATGGAGGCCGAGCAAAAGGAAAAATCGCAGAAGAACGGCGACAATTCAGTACAAGGGGGAGCGTTCACGAACGTCGAGGACACGATTTCGCCGTTCGGTTACAAGAGAGGCGAAGGCATCGATGCCGGAGCAGGAGAATTAGACTGGATCGTTAGCCGGGAAAAGCCCAAGTACGATGAAATATTCAACACATTGAGTCCTAAGGAAGGAAAAGTTACCGGAATGGGTAAGTTACCGTTTCTATTAACGCTAATCCATTGAGACATGTTTTTGTGGATTTTGCAAATATTACATACATACTTTTGTAACAGTCATTTTTGTTTTTTTTTTTTACTTTTTTTACAACTATGCTCAAACATTCATGCAACAGGAACGTAAAACTTCCGCTAAAGTACATATAACCAATACTAATAAAAATTTTATGTACCTAATTAATTAGCTTTTACAGCTAAGTTTATTAAACAATACTCATAATATTTTAATTTACAATCATTTAGGTCAACTGTTTGTTAACATGTAATAGTGTGTATCTGTTTGCTATTAACAAGGCTTTAATAGCATTGGACATGCTATTCAATATTTTTAACATCAGAAACAGTTTAGGTTTAGCTTTATTGTGGTTTTGTAAACAAAAAATTTGGCCTCGGATTATTTAGACTAGGAAAAATTTTTGTTGAACTGAAGTATGGAAAACTCGCAACATAAAACTTGGATAATATATAGTTTCATAGCTCTTTAGAGCGTTTTGACATGATGCAATATATTGCAATGCAATTTTGTTGCAGTTTATTTATTTATTGCTGGAATATATTGCATCGTGTCATAACGCTCTTAGAAAAGTAAAGTACATCTAACTTTATTAAAGTACCCATAATATTTAATTTAACAGTTATTTATTTAGGTCAACTGTTTTATGGTTGTTACATTTGGATATTTTATATAATAAATTTTACAGCAGGAAAAATTCACGTTAAATGTGGTTTTATGGATTAAAATTTTATTGTTAGTCACAAAGTTACCTAATAAATCACCTTATGACAAATTGTGCTTTAGGGGCTTATCAGTTTGTAGTAATTTTAAATAGCAAATGATAAATTAAGCAGTATTTATTTAATTTAACGGCAAAGAAATTTAGTTACAGTTAGAAAAAAAAAATCCATAATTTGAAGGTCGTTTTTAACGCACCTAATGTTTAATTTAGCTTAATTAACTACATGAGGGTTGCACCATTGAATCTGTTTATTAATGAAATTTAATCTCATTCTTTGGTGACATTGAAAATACAATAGCGTAATGATTTTGTAATTCGTATTGGTTGTTTCCAGCGAAGGAAGTAATCAAATAACGCAGGTTTTCCAAAAATCTAATTTCTATCAATTTTATTTCACGCATTACATTATCACTACCTGATTATTGACTTTTAATCTTATGTAACGCGAGGTGTATCATCGGTATTGATTCATCGTTTCGTACTTCAAACCTTATCAGGTATATTTACTCATTAATATTCCAAAGATAAAAGCTAAAGTCTAAGGCACCGTGTCAGCACAACTCAATAATATACATGTAGATACTTCTACAAAGTATTTGTATTGCTGTTTATGACGTCAGTGAAATTACTTTTATTCGATATTCCCGTATCAGGTGTAATAGTAAATTTATCATGCAATTTCATTACTAACGATGCATTCATTAAACTTTTACTTGCACTATCGATTCGCGTATTCTGAAGTATTCAAATAGAGTGGAGCAAAAGTTTGGAAACGAATTGTATAAACTTTGGAGATTCTAGATTTGACATTTGCATTGTTGCTAGATTTTACCGTTTTTTTTGTATCTGAGCAATAGATCCTGAAGGCTGTGATTTTGACAGCAGGTCATAAAATGCTTCATTAAAATTGACAGTATTGATAAAATAGAATGCTCCGATTTTCACAGCGATGTTTAAAAACTATTCGCTCACTAAAGGAACTACTTTTCATTGGGACACCCTGTATTACACGCCATCTGATTAGGATAATTTTTGATTTTGGATAATTTTTCATCTTAAACCTGGCAACCAAGTGACCAACACCGCAATAAAAAAGCATTTCCTTTGGTACCTACTGAAACAAACCGCAAGGAAATGACGATAAGTTGCTAATAGCGAAAAAGTTCAATTTTAGTTTAATCTCGGGAATCCTATGATATTTATTTCGTCATTAACACTTCAAGGGAATTTATTGGGTTTTTAACGATCGGTTTTGTTAACATTTATTTTAAAAGTTAATTAGTCGAAAATGTTTCATATGTAGCATAAATTATAGAGTTTAATTAACACCCTGTATAGGATGTATCAAAAAACATAGTAATACACATCTGACAGATTCAAGAAAAATTACTTGAGGCTTTAATTTAAATACAGCGTATTAATAAGCTTATAAGAGTATAGTATTTCGAAATAAACTTTCATTAAACGGAACAAACGTGCCTCCGAGTTATGAGCCAATTAAATCCTCCGTCATTACCTAATTATCGTCTTAATTGCAATCGCATTATCCACTTAACTGAACAAGCTGCATGCACGGTCGTTGCCGGCGCTCAATCGTGAATTGCGTTGTTGCAGCTGCGAAAGGGGAAATGGTGAAATCGAAGCTGCCCAATTCCGTTCTGAGCAAGGTGTGGAAGCTCGCGGACGTCGACAAGGACGGCATGTTGGACGATGAGGAATTCGCCTTGGCAATGCACTTGATTAACATTAAGATCGACGGCAACGACTTGCCCTCCGAGTTACCAGCGCATCTGATTCCGCCCTCTAAACGTTGATTGTAGCCTTTCCACGGTAAGTATCCTCAAGTGCTGTTCATTTTTCGTACATTCGGTGCCTCGTTATATGCAAATGAAACGTACAAATGTCGGTTTTTTTACTGCTTTTATCTGCCAGTCCATTTTACATATTACTCTCGTGCTAGTCTTTTTTGAGTTTCAATGGGGACGTTCAGTATTTTTGTCGATGGGGAAAAGCTGGCCTGATTCGAGTACTGTACTGTCCAAGTAAATATATATTTTTTATAATTGAATTTATTTATTGAATAGAAATCGAAGGCGTCGGAATATTTGAAATTTTATTGATGTGAAATCGTAAATTCCAGTGAAAGAGGCTTCATTGATTGTTGCAAATATTTCATTTATTGCCCGATAAAGTTCCATTAAGAGCAAAGAGCTTACTCTTATCAGGTGGCTCGGATGTATTTAAATTTTTAAATGGATTTTCAAGTTTAAGATGTTTTAATTTATTTCTGCAATCTAGATTGTGTACGTTATAATTTAAAACAATTTTTCGATTTTACTTATTTTTTATTATAAATTAATAGCTTGGAACTTTGTAAATGTTCTCTTTTTTGATTTTTGAAGTAAATTTATTGTGTTCATAAGATTTTTGCTGAATGAGTTATCGATTACTAAATAAAAGACTAGGATGATATTAAATGCGAACAAAACATGGTAAATACGTCGATAACAAATTCACTTACATGTGTAACATGGACAGCTTTTTGTATGACAAAAATGAATAAATTAAGTAGAATAATTATTTTCGTTATTATGAAAATGTGTTACTTAAAATTGCTTCCGTATGTAGGTGCCTTCTTTTAGATTTCTTTTTAAGCCGCATATTCATTTAGATAGGATTATGTTATTGATGTTTAGTTTATTTATGTTATAATATTAGTCTAAGAGAAGAATTTATTTTTTAAAATCATGTAGGATATTTTTGAATTCCTATTTATTGTAAAACGCTATCAAACTGATTTTTTAAAATACAGGGTATTTTATGAGATTTTTATTTATACATCACTTTCTTTTAAATATTCTACATGGTTATTGGTATTTATGCATACTTTTAGGTTGAAATTAGTATTTGTATTTTATTTCTCGCAAACACTGGGTTAAAATTATGCAGGGTGTTTTTTTGTATTTTAGTCTAATTAAAAAAATCGTTTTGTTTAAAATAATAACACGATATAAAAACGTAAATTCTAAAACAATTCTAAATGTTGCACAATTGCATATATTTTGAAACTTATGATCAATGTAGTCCATTTGCAATTATCATACCACATATATTTTTGCAATAAAAAAATAGGCAATTTCGATTTCCATGCCAAATTACCAAAGAACCAAAAAAAATATTTACACATTTATTTTGGTAATTCGGCGACTGAAAACATTATTCATATAATTTATTATTAATCTTGCTGATACCTATTTAATACGAACAATGTGATAAAATTTCGTACTGTGTATATTTGTATTATAACATTGTAGATAAAAATTAACTTTCCATTTTTGATGTTAACACTTTTTTTTTCCTTCGACGGCCGAATAAATTCAAATCACATAGTTGGATGTATATTATATATTTTTGTATATATTATTTCGATCCGACTGTTCTAGTTTAAGCACTTGTAGGAAGTATAATATTTGATTTCATTCTTTAATTTGTGCATTATTTAAATAAATTTATGTACTATGTTTCTTCTTATTTTCTAATCTTTCTAAATCCGTTTTCTCTTATTTTAAGCGTAACAGATAGCATGTAGTAGAACTGCAAATATGAATAGAGTTGTACAATTTAAAAATAGACGAATGTGATGCAAATTTTTACTATAATGAGATAAAAGTGTGGTTACAAATCGGATATGTTCGTTACACACTAAATAGGTTATCCTACGCTTTAAATCATTCTACAGGATGGAAACGCCAAATGGAATAAATTCATTATTTCGGTTGGTGAACATATTTATAGAAAATCCCGAAATAAGTCAAATTTTAATTATAATTTGACATTTCTTAACGTCAAAATGTGAGACCTGTCTTCAACCCCGCTTTAATGACAGCTACAACTCTTATTTTTTTGAATAGGAAGTATAGGCTTGTGATATATCGTTTGAAAAGTTTCTTTATTTTCTTTCCAAAAATGTTATTGTTTTCAAGTTTATTTTAAAAATTAACATAAAAAAAATCATGAGATGGCTTAAAATCGATTTAATACACAGTATGTAATGCCTAATTGCTCACAATGTAAAAAAATATAAATCTCACCAAAAATGTTATTTTATGCATTTCTATTAATCTAACCATTTATTTTAATTGCAATTAACGAGATTTAAACAAAAATTATAACACTGAGAACTGCTCTTATACAGTTGGTGTTACAAACCAATTTGCTAAGGCCTTTTAAACAAACTAGTTTTATTTATACGGGAAGTAAGATTATATTTTTTAATGTTAATTTTTAAAATAGACTGGAAACAATAACATTTTTGGAAAGAGAATGAAGAGACCTTTTAAACGATATATCACAAGCCTATACTTCTCATTAAAAAAATATCAAATAACTGTCATTCGAAGGGGGTTGATAGGGCTCACATTTTGACGTTGATGAATGTCAACTTAAAATTAAAATTTTACGTGTTTCGGGATTTTCTATAAATATGTTCACTAAACTGATATAATGAATTTATTCCATTAGGCGTTTTCACCCTGTATGATTAATGTCCGTTCAATTATGCAGTGTGTTAGCCAACGTTTACGGTACAAAATAAATTGCTCTATTCAACTAATACGTTCCCGTAAAAAATATCGCCTGAATTCGGCATTGTGCGAAATCTATAACAGTTTGTGTAAAACTATTATAACAAAGAATTGTAGCATTGGGAATCGAACGTTCAAGGTTTTTTTGCATTCCAATTGTTCAATTTTATGGATCGGTAACAAGATATGTTTTGTATGATTTACCTAAATATGTTTAACATGCAGAACTACATGTTCGGTAGCATTTATTTTGATAAATATTCAAGACAGTAGACAATATGATAAGTTTATAAACATGTTACATTGGCCACTTAATATATGTATATATGTAATCGGTGGCGCCATCTACGAACGTATACCAGTACTACTGGTACCTCTATATGTTCCTAGGTGGCGCTACCATCAGATTTCTGCGTAATGGGGGTTGCCTATATTAAGACTGTTATTTGAATTTTCAGGTAATCGAGGTCAATTTCCCAAAAAATGTATTTCCTTATATCCTATCGATTCGAATTGTTTTCTCTTGGGGATAATTATTCAATTTGAAGTATAAAAAAGCCGATCGTCATAACATTTTATTGTATTTACATAGTTCAAGGCTTCGTTTTTATACAGTCTGTTGTTTATACACATTTTACAATATAAATGTAAAAGGCACAAATATATATTTCCGTTTCAATAGGCCCTTTACAGTATCCTTTTTAGGTACACAAAATCATAAAGGCCAGTTTCTTTCATAATGAGCGACACTAAGGGAGTTTTCTAACGAGGATAATGCGCAGCAAATTCTTATTATCAACGATTCAGAAAATTGTTTATTACATACAGTAAACAGAGTCTAATTTTCATCAGTAGAAAATGTAGCTAAGGTAAGTTACCACATCTGTGAAAGTTCTTAACGTAACAAAAATTCGTACTTAAGTGCTAAAAAACAGCACTTAAAAGCAATCCTGAATTGTCGATAACGTGATAGAATCGATAAAGCAGTTGTAGCCTCGTCCGAAACTGCCCTAGGACTTAGTTCGTCATAAAATGTAATAATTTTCCTATTTTACAATAAATAATACAACACCCTTAATGCTACAGCAGGTTTATTGTGGATTCTAAACGATACTAAATTCAGTTGTTCCGAACAAAACGACGCCGCAGTTCTCTAAAACAAGATGCACCGTTTTGTGCGAGGAGCAAATGCTTGAAAGTAATTTGTTCAGGAACCACACTCTAACTAATAAAAATTATTTAGTTGTACATGCACAAAAATTTAACGACGTTCCAGCTAAAATCTGCAGAGGTGCAGTTGTCTTAGCCAAATGTATCGTTTATAAATTAAATTAATATGTACCCGACCTACTATTAAAAAAAAAAGATTAGTGATTTTTCTAAAATGCCGCGTTCTATAGCAAGTACGCAATTTTTGGTATTTTGGATTTGATTTAAAAATTAGAAAAATCAATATTCTTTATGACAAAACCAAATCAAACTAAACGCACCTTTTTGTACCTATTTTATAATAAAAATTATCTTAAAACCTATAAAAATCACAATCAATAATAATCAACCTGCTTATAAGTGTATTTGTCTTACCGCCTTTCGCAAATAATCAACCCCTATTCATCGATCCTAAATAGCATTTCTTCTCACATATGACTAACATTGTACAGTTATCGTTTCCTATATCTGGACTCTCGAAAACAACAATTTTTAAACATAAATATCGTTAGTTGTCAAGACTTAATAACTATTCAAAAATGTGATTAATCAGTCGAGTTTATCGCGTTTTTGTATTCGACAGGAAAGCACCAGTAAAATTACATTGGATCTTGCAATTGCGAATACAAAAATACGAAGACACATTTTTTGTAACTAAAATTCAAATTTAAGTCCATTAAAAATTTGTTAATTTCGATTAAACAACTAAATAATTGCAACTTTCGGTATATACAATCCGGCAGGAAAAGCTGTAGACTTGAAAGTAAGAAGAGCAACGGTTAATACCATTTAAAAGTCTTGATAAGTCTACAGTTATTCCCGCTGAATTAATATTATAGAAACGAATAAAAATCATTGTTCATACAAAACTTTAGAATTAGTTGAAAATGGATGTCACACAATCCAAGAATCTTTCAAATTTTTTATCATTATAAAATATTTTGTAGGAAAAATGAATCGAACGAGTTTGTTTTCAATCCGTCCAGACTTGCAATAGAAAAAGAGCTACATTTTAAATATTCGGATTACACCCGAAAGAAATAAATCTCGATTTCTTACAAAATAACTAAAAATAGGTAAATAAATAAAATAATTACGTTCATAAAGTGATAATACATACTTGCTGCCAATTCAACGTGCAGCTCCTTCATTTTTTTTTCAAGCAAAAAACTATAAACTTTTAAGCTGCTTGAAACTAATAATTAAAAAAAACCATCATATTAAAAAACATGAATCGCATCTAAATCACTGCGGACTCCACACATCTCGATGAAAAAAAAATCGTAAGTACATGCTAGTTAGTAAATTTTCAGTTTTTTTTGGAATGATCTTGTAATTCGAAACCGAATCGTGGATATCTTCCATTAGAACGATACTGGGTAAAAGATATCTGCTAGTACAGTGATTTAGAAACGCTTCAAAATCCTGCATTCATGTAATGAAATATCTTTAATGGTACACAGCCATTTTAACCAAAAAAATCAGATAAGACTAGAATGTAACTCTATGGCGAGCTGTTGACTATTTCGGGTCATTTATAAAAAAAAATTCAAAATCCATTCATCGTCCCAACGAATTTTTTCCCAATATTCACACACTACAACCGGGCGCCTCGTCGGTCGCCTGCTGCTGCGCCCAGCGGCACTGCAGGCTGCTGGTGCTGTTGGTCGTCTCGTTTCGCAGGCTCTGTTCCAATTCTAACAGTTGACCCATAAAGTTCAGATTCGGGGAGATGATCGGCCGGGCCTCTTTCACCTTCTTGTACGCCTCGATCATCGACATCGACATGTACTTCATGATATACGCTATGGCTATTGTTGCACTTCGAGAGATTCCTGCTTGGCAATGAACTAGCACTCTTGAGCCGCTTTTTCTAGCTGATTCTGCAACAAATATATATTAAACTTATTATGCGAACTTAAAACTGATAAATAATTATTCTTCTAACTAGGTAATTGACTCTATTGGGCACACAATTGTTCTCTTAGTTCTCTTGGAAAGATAATGGACTCTTTTGGTTAAATAATTAACACTCTTTGGTAGGCAATGACTTTCTTGGGTAGATAATAATTGATAATTAGTAGATAGTTAACTTTCTTAGAAAGATAACCAAATAGCTTGTGTAGATAACTGACTCTATTGGGTACATAATTGACCCTATTGGGTAAATAATGGACTCTCTTGGGTAGATAATTGAACCTCTTGGGAAGGTAATGGAATGTGTTGGGTAGGTAATGGACTTTTTTGAGTAGATAATTAACATTCTTGGAAAGATAATGAAATATCTTGTGTAGATAATTGACTCTATTGGTTAGATAATGGACTTTCTTGGGTAGATAATTGACACTCTTGGGAAGATAATGGACTTTTTTGGGTAGATAATCTGATATTTTGTGTAGATAATTGACTCTATTGGTTAGCTAATGGACTCTCTTGGGTAGATAATTGACACTCTTGGGAAGGTAATGGAATGTGTTGGGTAGGCAATGGCCTTTTTTGGGTAGATAATTAACTCTTTTATTAAAATAATGGAATCGTTTGTGTAGGTAATTGACTTTCTTTGGATGGTAATGGACTCTCTTGGAAAGATAATGGAATTTCTTGGATAGATAAGGTTCTTTTAGTCTGTTGTGTAATGAATCTAGTGATTCATTTGGTTCTGAATTGTACAAACTAGGAGTTAAGTTAAATAATTTAACAAAATTTCTATTTATTTCTAGTGAATAAAAAAATCTTGACGAAATACGTCGACAATGTAGCTAAAAAAAACTCCGCCTATCGGCAGGTTTCTTTTATAATTTACGAACAGCCGGTACTGAGGAAATCGTTGTAGAATTGCTCCGAATCGTCGCGAATTTATTGCGGTTCAAAGACACATTTATAAAAATAACCGAAAATCGGAATATATTTGGCACGATTGTCCCGAATTAGCTATTCTGTTTACACGTGAAAATAGCGAGCCTCTTCGACCGGTCTGCGAGCCTTTTTCTAAAAATAATTTTCGAATGGGGTGGCTGTGTTTATGGTGACCCAGATGACAAACGTTAGCGCTCACAGCAGATGGATAAAAGCAACAGGAAAACAGAGCGTATGACTCATGCACAAAACTAAATCTGTACTTGGGTTCGGATGCTTCGGTTCGTTTTGGAGCTATATTTAATTTTGGCCGACATCGACACGTACCGAGACGAATGAATATATATATTTATTTAATAGGCTAATAATAAAATTACATCAGATTTTAGACAACTGCGTCGTTCGGCTGTCAACATCATCGATTTATCCGCGAATATTACGCGAATTCTTTGATTGAAAACCCCGCAACGGAGGTCAACACTCTTCAGCTGGGTCAATAAATATTATTATTTTAATTAGTTAATTAATCGAATTGGCGAAGAGCAGGTTACTTAACCATCGCCGGTCGAGCACGTGATAATGATGAGCAATAATCTTGTTTGCTCTGCACTTAAATAACGCAATGTTATTCAACAAAACGCAGGTATAATAAACGTAACGAACAGTTCTGGCAACTGTCGAACATATTGTAGCATTCAATAAAGTTCCCCGACGGCCTTTAACCGGCCTGATAAGAGGGTTATAATGACGTCACCCCGATAAGCAACAGCTTTTTTTCTGATTCACCGGCGTATACGTCATCGACATCCCGTTTTGCCGTGCCCGCCATCATCCCTTCTGGCAACCGAAAAAAAAAAAATAAATACAATGGCCTGACGCATTTCGCTCGAAACGGGTCACACACGATGACTAACACAGCGTTTGGGCACCCAGCAAAGTGTATGTGTATTATATAATTTGCTTGGGATATCCAACAATGGACGGATTTGCGCGAATGCATCGTTTCGAGATGGAAAAATCGGATAGATAATGCGTAAAATGATTCACAGCGAGCTTATAAAATTGAAAATCTCGCGTGCGTTCGTCGACACTTTTGCCAGCAAAACCATCGCACTTCGGGTTATAAATACAAATGTTTTGTAAAAGCCGATCGCGAACTTCCTGGTTCTGACGAGCACACTCAGATGATAAAATAACGAGCAGAGTTTACCAAAATTGCAAATAATACATTTTATACATTCATTCATTCATTAAAAAAATAGCAATTGTTTAGTTCAACTAAAAATTGCATATCGAGTAAATCTAATTCGTAGTAAAATCAGCGCTTTTTTTCCGAGTACCTTCACCCGTCCGGTTATTTCGATAAATTCGGAAATTCGAAGGGGCGCGGCCGGTCCTGTCGCCTTTTAAGGGTTGCGATGCGACGCAATTGGAGCGGGGAATCAAACGCAACGTTATAAAATGAGTCACAATGTGCGTACTTACACACATACACACGGCTAAGAGGCAACGATCGACAGCCCTTGAACAATAACTGCGATGAGTAATGTGGCTGCTGACTCAAAACTTGACAAGGCCGTTACACAAACCACAACATAACCATTCATAAGAACGGCTCGCAGAATCTCGTTAGTCGAGGTGCTCCGTATACGACCAGTATGACTGGTTTGATTTTTTTTTTTTGATTTTTTTTCCTCTTCTTCGAGAATAATGAATTTTAGGGGATGGTTAATGACTGTCGCAAACAAGCACAAATTTAAATAAAATGTCACAGTATTGTTTACTATATCAAGTAGCTAGTTTAGTGAACTTACGCGAGTTTCAGGTTAAAAGATTATTTATTGCTAATGATAGTAAATTGTCAGTTTCTCCCAGAATTCAGGTCAATTGCACTAAATGGGTCGAGTAATTGTTTATAACATTAAAACTAGAGTATTATATGAAATGATCTATACACACACTCAAAATGTTTTGCATATTATATATGAAGTTGAAATGCCACTGGCCATTTATTATTTAAAAACACCTGTCTTCAAATTTTCACTTCTGTACATCCAAAATCTTTCAAAATACTGCAAAAATTCATGTTTTTTATTTCAACTTTGACACTCTGTATCTTTTTTATTTTCAATATTTTACTAAAGCAAGTTAGGTCAGATCGTAATATTTTGAGGCTCCTTCACTTTTGGATCATTACTTACCGACTACCCTGTATATACAACGAATTATTTGTAAAATTACTCATCAAAATTAGTTTCCAAAAGGCATAAACATCATATAAAATTAACAATAAAAACAATTTAACAAAAGACATTTTAAATAATAAATGGGCAGTGGCATTTCAACTATATAATATGCAAAACATTTTTGAGTATGTGAATTTCTACAATAAATACTGTTTACCATTTCAGTTGAATTTATGGCTTTGTAGCATCGACAACGATTTATACCTACAATTCTAATACAAGCGGATTATTTTCGATTTTATTCATAATTACCCAAAGAAACGGATAAAATTTGGATATACCGCGCTTGCAATTCAACGTAAATTCCTAATCCGAAACCCGCGTAAGTTGAGAGAGAATGGACTATAGATTAGGCATAACCGTATGAAAGTGTTGCTGTGGCCACCGCACTATAGAATCGAATTAATCCGAACTTTCTCTAAACCAACATTAACAAACGAGAATATCGATTCGCGTCAGGTAGGAATCCTATCCGAGATCGTAATGCAATTTATTGTAATACGAAATCGAGAAAGGCGATCGTTACACTTACATATTATTTATTATTGTAAATTTTGTTCGATCGCTAAAACGGCAAGGCTATATTCCTTTACGTAATCTATCTTCGTTACTCAGAAACCCAAAGGCAACGGATCGGAGCGAATTAAGAATTATTGTTGACATAACAAAGTGCAAAGATTTTTCCGAGAAATCGTCTAGAAGGTAATCGAGTATAAAACAAAACACTTATGTTTCCAGGAACATTTAAATGAGTAATAGCGATATTGCTGCACTACCTGCTGTTTTAAAGACTATACAAAACACACGGCGGAAGGATTATTAAAACATAACCTATACAAGGTGCCGCGATAAAGCTGCAATTAAATCGTTCGATTCCAAAAACTCTACGCGATGAATCATTTCGGTAATCGATGTAAAAACTTTTTATCGGGTAAAAATCAACGTAAATAGTACGTTTCTGTTTACCCGATGATTCAACATAAACTCTGCGCTCCGAAGGTTCCTGATAAAACTTTCGATGCCTATACTTGCCTTATGTAAATTACAGGAACATTAGTCATGAGGGTAGGCACCTGAATTTTAATCCAGCACCCAATTCGACTCTACTGGAATTTTTTTTTCACATTGGGGGACTTTATGATGCGTTAAATTCGATAATATATAAACAACTACCGTCAAAATTGACATTAATGACATTTCGAATGACAGAAGTTTAATAGAAGTGTAAATCAATTTTTTGTGATAGAAGTGCAGTAATGACTACTACAAAATAATTGTTATATTTTTTAAATATCGTTTTCCTATAGTAGTTATTCTCTATTCTACTCTATGATAAATTGTACTAAATTTTTTCTCATTGTACGTCAATAAGTGGGACTTGAGGATGCGTTCTATTACACATAACCAGAAACTGTCAAAATTGACATTAATGACATTTCGCATGACAGAAGTTTAATAGAGGTGGGAATCATTTTTTTTTCTATAGAGGTGTAGTAATAACTATTACAAAATAAGTGTTATATTTTTCAATATCATTTTCCTATAGTTATTCTTTATTCTACTCTACGATAAATTATACTAAATTCTTTCGCATTGTACGTCAAGTGTGACTTGATGATGCTTTCTAATATACATAACCAGAAACTGTCAAAATTGACATTAATGACATTTCGCACGACAGAAGTTTAATAGAAGTGTGAATCAATTTTTTGTGATAGAGGTGCAGTAACAATTGTTACAATATAAACGTTTTTTTTAATATTGTTCTTTTGATTATCTACTCTATTCTACTTTACTCGAAATTAATTTGACAAAATTTCTTATTAAAAATACGATCCAAAAACGATTATATTGACGGGTGATTCAGGAGCACCGAGCACAAGGGCAAAGTAAATTTTCCCGATAATGAAAACGAAAGCACCGACCCTGCTAAAGAGACCAGCGAGCTGCACGCGCGTGAGATAAGTGATTTATCCAATAAAAACGAACTAATCGACTGGCGCTGACATTCGACAGGGCTTCCTGATACAAACAACCACCCTATCGTATGGAATTGAGTAAATTTATCAACGCGGATGCGACCCGAATAGTCCGGGAGAAATGAATCGGCTATCACTTTTCAATCCATCATATACATTATTTATTAGATAAAAAAAATTGTCCGTTTTAGCATAAAGATAATAAACGTGTATTAAAAAAAATAATTGCAGATTCATTCGATGATAAACAAAAAAATTCAACCGATAGCATTTAATGAAGCTGGGATAAATTAGCGGATCGTAAAGTGTATAGGCGCTCGAGTTGAATTTATGCGCCGTTACAAAACTGTAACAATTTAGTCCTACCAACACGTAACATTTATAAATTGCCATTTCCTATAATTAATGTGAAAAGTCGGGCGCGCCTTTTTCGAAAGAGAAACGGAACGGTTTTACAACCGCATAGCGGCCGATAAATTCGCCGCTCATAGGAAGAAGGAAGCGAGCCGAACGACAACAAAAAAAATATAACGAATGAAATTCACCTTCCTGTTCGGCGGGCATAAAAAAAAAATAAATAAATTAAACGGCATCGTTAACGCGCGCTTTGCTCGTTTTGCGCCAATTTCGTTTGCGATAAGCGAGGTCGCCGTTTAAATCGCGCATTTTTATAGACTGTGTGTGTGTGTGTGTGTGACAAAAAAAATATGACGGACTCGATGCTATCGAGACCGGTTTTGGTATTGCACTAAAAAAAAAAACGCGCATGAAAACTCTACGGGCAAACTCGATAATTAATTTAGTCACTTTTTTCATGAAAAAATCGCCGTGGAAAAACTACAATGAAATCGGGGACAGTAGGTAAATTTGACGCAGAAATATATTAGTTACATAAGAAATTATTAAAAGGGTAAATTGTGAACCAGAATATTTTCAATTAGAGAAGGTGATTATTCGAGATATTGATCAATCTTGGCTTTGTTTTAAAAAGCAGTGTAATGAATAAATTTACAATGTAGGGTACCATAAAGTAGAAGAGAGTACAATACAATACAGAAAAGTAGTGTAGATTAGAGTAGAATAAAGTAAAGTACAAAAGAGTAGAATAGAGTAAATTAAAGTAGAAGAGAGTGGAGTAAAGTGCAGTAAAGTACAATAGATTAGAGTAAAGTGTAGTAGAAGAGAGTAAAGTGCAGTAAAGTACAATAGATTAGATTAAAATGCAGTAGAAGAGAGTAAAGTAGAGTAAAGCAAAGTAGAAGAGAGTAGAGTAAAGTGCAGTAAAATACAATAGATTAGATTAAAGTGCAGTAGAAGAGAGTAAAATAGAGTAAAGTAAAGTATAAGAGAGTAAAGTGCAGTAAAAGAGGGTAAAGTAAAAAATAGAATAGAGTAAAGTAAAGAGTAGAGTGCAGTAGATTATAGCATAATAGAATAGAGTAGAATCCCTGTTTACACGAATTGTTATGTTTTTTAATATTTTAAAGCAGGACTTTTTATAAAGAATGTCTATTATTCGTAAAATTACTAATGGTTTTTTTCCTCTCTTCAACTTCATTCCGGGACACACCGTATATTAAAATAGAATATGCGCACGAAAATAAAGAAAAAATCCTAAAAAAATTACTTGTGCTTATTTTCTGCGGACATTTTGCGCCCAATTTACCTGTCGCGTTAAAAGGACATTTCATTTCACCGCGCCCAATTTACCTACAGGCTAAAAATCTACAATCCCTTTTGCGTCTAATTTACAATCGTTCGAACAGAATCGCCCGCAGAATTTGTGCCATGATAAAACGATTATTTACAAATTCCGCAGGGATCTCCTCCGATACCGAGACGATAAATTTCCCGGAAAGCGGCGCTCGAACGTGTTATTCCCCACAACACAATTATTACAATTAAATTACGGCGAACAAGTTGAATTCGTCAAGGATTCAACACGTTCCGAATTCCCATCGAAACGCAACAGAAATCCGGTGATTCATGTGGAACTTGTCCGGGCCCCGGATTCATCTACCGTTTTCCCCATCGAATTTGTTAAAAAAAAATAGCGCATAATCGCCGATGATAACGATTAATCGAAGGTTCATCGCCAGACGACGTCAACAGTTAAACCGCTTAATTAAAATTTTGCGCGCAATTAATTTAATTACTCACCGAAAACATTCGGCGGTTGTAAATTGTAAATTCCATTTCGAGATTTAATTACATCAAAACTTTAAAGAACGTCATTGAACAACAACAGCTTTAAGATTAATACCATAAATTTAATTCTCATTAGTGCATTCGATAGCACCAAATATTTAAATGCAGGGGTGCTAGTCTTAGATTATTTTTGTTTGGATAGGTCAACAGAAGCCGAAATTGTAAACTTACCAATGAACTCGAAAGCTTCTTCGAAATACTGTTTGAGGTTTTGGTGTCCGGAATCGGTGGCCGGTATTTGCTTGTAGGTGATGCCGCATTCTTCGTGGTACCCCGGCAATTGGGAAGTAACGTTCAGAACGCAGGTGGTACCGAGGCCCCTGAGGCACGAGAGATCAGCTGCGTCTTTGCTGTTGCCCAGGTACAAAAAGGGTAAGACCTTGGATGCGGGATACGAGTCGACATCTGCCAGTGTTGTCGGCGACGAAGGCAAACCTCGATTCGATAAACCGGACATTAGCGTGTCTTCGCACAGTTCTTTGTGCTTTCTGTGGAATTCCCTGTGACCTCCTGAAATTAAACAGAATTCTTTGATACCCACTGGATTTTGTAAACAATCGCGATGTCAGAACTATTATGGACATCATAGAGCAACGTTGTTTGCTATATGGTCGATTCCATGAATCAAAAAGATATTAAAATAACAGTGGTTAAAGTGAAATCCTACAATATCACTTTCTTTTTCCTTAAATTAGTTGAGACTAATGAAAATTAGTCATCTTTAAATAGAAGCGCTGAGTAAAGGAAAAAAATGTATAAAATTGCGTTTACAATTCCTAATCCATCTATACATTTCTGGGTCGTAATAACACTTTTAAATTAGTTGGAAGTTTTCCCGAAAAAATAAATTCCCTACCTAAAAATGTTATGGGAAGTGATGACTAACGTTGTTGGGTGGTAGAACAGGAAATTAGAATTTTTTTTCATGCATAATACAAAGACTAGGACAAAAATAAAAGTCATGTGGAAGGTGACCTTTACAATATACACACTGTATAAATCTTTATAAAATACGATAATACTATGATACACATAGATACAAATCTTATTCAAATGACATTCAAATGAATTACGCTCAAACTAAACGATTAACATTTATATAGGGTATAGAAATTTGAAAGGCATCAATATGCATTATTTATAAACTGACTCATCCGCACTGTGATATAATTACATACCTACACGTCTGGCAATACAAATCTGTCAAGATTTATTATTATTAATATTAATTTGTTGTTGCAAAATAATATCGACAATTAGCTGAATTAAAATTCCAGCATGTGAGAAAATTGGCGCAGAAACAAAATGTATTCCACAATCCTTATTTTTAATGACTTCGTTGAATAAAAATCCTGCAATTAATTGTATTATTCACCCACTAATAACACACAAGAAGCCATGGAAATTTACATAAGATTCGTCAATTTGAATTTTACATTATCATTGAAGATAATGAACAATATTTTGTATGTATAATCTCGAGTGAGCAAATATTGTTGCACATTATAAATTAACGACATTAAATTCGTGCAATGAACGTTATAATAATAGAAAAATTAATAATATATAATACGTATTTAATATTATTTATATAACCGAGTTTCGTTCGAGAACTACATAAACTTCAGATATAATTTGCGCAATAAATTTATCTAAAAGTTCACATTGATAACCGACGATGATGAGAATAAGGTATCATCGACTTTGCATGAACATGATCACTAAATCCAAAAACGTCCCCGTTAAATTATCATTATACTAAAATCGGCAGTTAAATCAAAATAATCACATTTAGTGCGATTAGTATCGAGAACAAACGTAATATTCCACTTAAATAAAACCGATACAATCTAATTAAAACTAATTCAATTAGATGGAACTATTGATTAGGTATTTATACGGGGAGCTTACAAATGCATCGACATAATCTTGTGGGTTAGTCAATTGAATGCGATACCTTCAGCGTAGTGACAACAAAGGCATTATTTAAGCATCAAATTTGAATAGGACCTATATATAATCCGTGATTCATCATGCTGCAACCCTAATTGTCCCGACATAGGCGGATGCGAGTAATTGCCCGAAAGGGTGAAAATGCGAATAGAAATTATTTTCATCGGTTATTAATAGTGCGTACCGATTAATTGAAAAAAGCTGCGCTGCAAAAATAAAACCAACCGTTTTGTTTTCCAACTTATTTTCCAACGAATCGATTTTTAAAGTCCACGAGCGCCAATAAAAATATTAAATTTAGCATGTAAATATTATTAAAAATTCTTGTTTTTTCTAGGGTCCAAAAATAGTTACCAACAACTCAATTTTGGGTAATGAAAAATCGCGCTCCTTCAGATGTATTGCGTATGTACCGCCTTTGTTGTTTAGGGATAAATTGAATGGCAATGTATTTAATAGCGTTGTGAGTCATTGGGTACTAAGGATGAGGGTATACTTTTTAAAAAACCGTTTTTCTGATGATGATAGAGAGCTGTATGCACCAATTGGGGTGGTGACTAATATCAGAGGGTATTACTCACACTATACAAATCTTGGAAAAATAAGATGATTGACAGATGCAAGAGGCCCGCTCAGACGGCGGCTAACGCGATTATTAAATAAAAAAAAACACCCCCTCGATCTTTTTTTTTTTAAATGCACAAAAACGGCTTTCATCACGAGCCGAGCACGTGGTCATTTTCCATAAATATTTTATTCATAAAAAAACGTTTGAATACAATCAGGAATTTTAGCACAGTTGAAAGAAAAAAAAAACATTACAATTACAAATGAGATGATTTAACTTCCAAATCGAATAAAAAACACAATAGCCGAGGAAATGCATAAAAAATGACGGGTGACAGATGATGGCATTTTTTTTCGTGCTTTAATTTACTATCTTGACCTTCCTACTAAAAATAGGTATACTTGAATTTATGGAATTTAAATATTATAAAATTTACTGAAAGGGGTAGTAGGACTATTATGAGGGAAGTTGAGTATAATAACAAAATCAATTAAGTATGGTTTGAGAATACGAATCAAATCGAAAGATTGTATACATTTTATTAGCTAAAATAATACTGTAAAGTGCATAATATGTAGTATTATTATACTGCTCCACAAAAGTTAAAGGAAGTTCGCAAATATTGAGATTAATTTAAAAGTTGCAGGTTTTTCGATCGCCAAATTTAGTATGAGTCGTAGAGGTAGGAACAAAAAAAATCCACTCAGATATGAGAGAAAACATTTAATTTCGCACATTTGAAAATTTGGTGATCACAAAAGTCTGTAACTTTTAAATTAATCGCAAAACTTCCTTAACTCTTGTGGAGCAGTTTATTTTAAGATTGAAAGATTTTTCTTCAAGAAGGGTTACTAGAATGACTGTTAAATTTATACAAAAAATCGCTCGTGAAGTCAAAAAACGTGAAATTTTAGAGATAGTTGGTAAATATGAAATAAAAGCATATGGAAGTGTGTATTAATTTAGATTATGAATAAGTATCTACTAATTTTATTAGCTAAAATATTACTCTAACTCTAAAGTTTATATTATCGTTATTTTAAGATTTTAAAGATTTTTTTTCACGTGGGTTACTAGAATTGTTAAATTTATACTAAAATAGCTCAAGAAATCAAAAAAACATTAAATTTTAGATATACTTGGTAACTATAAAATAAAAACATAAGTATACATAAGAATTTCAGAAACAATTTAGCGCAATAAAAATACCGTAAAAACCTGTACCTATATAGAAAAACTTCAGCAAATTCAACCAACCTTCGCATTAAACCAGCGACTTTTCCCCAAAAAAAAAAACCACCGAAAAACAACTCAAAATACAACCTTTCCCAATTCAAAACAAACTAAACACACAACTACAAATACTCAAAAAAAAAACGACTTACTGGCAGGGACAGGAGTATTAACCGGTACAATCCTTAAAACGAGGCAAGAACTGGGCCTTTTTAGCCTCATACTTCGTTCGGTAATGTTTATAAACACAAACAAAAAAACTTTCGAAAACGCCGATCACTCGCCGTGTGCTTAAAACCGTATCAATATTGTAAATTGTAGTACAATGCACGCCGAACAGAACAGATACCGTGGATCGCTCGATTCGCCGGCCGAACCGGGAGTAGGGGTACAACAATGATTCATACCTACGGGCCGGTTAATGTTTATGTGTCCTGAGAGCTGCGTCATGTTCGCCTCGTCTGAAGGACGAAGGCCGAAATCCCCTGGACTTTACCGAGATAACGCTTCGGATTCCTTATTTATCGAAAATGCTAATCGATTTGTTTTCGAAAATTATGAGTAATGCTGGAATTTAAACGTTTTCGGTCGCAATGCGGGGTCATTATATCCGCATTTATTCGGCGCTGTTAATACTATTTACCGCGACCAGGAGGAACGATTACTTGGATTTTTTTCCATGCGTTTTGTTTACAGAAGATTGAGTTTGTTTTATTAGTTTTTCCAGTCGATTTGGTCGCCTGGAAAATTTCTACTGGAATTGTTCTGCTCCACAAAAGTTAAGGAATGGTTAAGGAATTTAATGTTTTTTTGATTTCTTGAGCTATTTTAGTATAAATTTAACAATTATAGTAACCCACGTGAAAAAAAATATAAACGTTAGAGTTAGAGTAATAGTTTAGCTAATAAAATTAGTAGATACTTATTCATATCCTAAATTAATACACACTTCCATATGTTTTTATTTCATATTTACCAACTATCTCTAAAATTTCATGTTTTTTGACTTCACGAGCGATTTTTTGTATAAATTTAACAGTCATTCTAGTAACCCTTCTTGAAGAAAAATCTTTCAATCTTAAAATAAACTGCTCCACAAGAGTTAAGGAAGTTTTGCGAATATTTTAAAAGTTACAGACTTTTTGATCACCAAATTTTCAAAGATGCGAAATTAAACGTTTTCTCTCATATCTGAGTGGATTTTTTGTCCCTACCTCTACAACTCATACTGAATTTGGCGATCAAAAAACCTGCAACTTATAAATTAATCTCAATATTTGTGAACTTCCTTAACTTTTGTGGAGCAGTATATTTTATCATATAGGCACATGAGAATGGAATATGGACATGAGAATATTTCATGTAGAAATATCAGGGATTATTTGATTTCATTGCAAACTTTAAATAGAGTAGAGTCGAAGAGAATGGAGTATAGAAAGTGTCGGGGAATATGAAGAGCTGCAGAGAGTAGAAAATAGAAGAAAAGAATAGAGGAGGGTGGGAAATAAGGGAAATAAGAAGAGAGTAGAGAAGAGTCGAGTATATGGTGGGAAATAGACAGAATACGAAATGAAAGAGTATAGAAGATATGAGTAGAGTAACGCTCATTATGTAACACGTTACTGCACCTCTATACTGAAAAAATCGATTCCCATCTCTATTAAACTTCTGTCATACGAAATGTCATTGTCAATTATGACACTCTATTTGTTATGTATCATCGAACGCATCTTAAAGTCCTATACTTATACGAATA